TCCGCCGGGACACGCCTTCTTGCATGGTGGCACTTGGAAGGGAGTAGGGGGGTTGCTTTCGTGCTTGCGGGGTGTGGCTACCGCGTTTTCAACTGCTGGTGTTTATGGTTGGGTCTTCCTAGGTCACTCGCCTACGTTGTGGTCACTTCATGCTCTCGGTGTGGGCTTGGTAGGTCCTGGTAGGTTTTAAGTCAACCATGCTCCTCGCCTCCTCGCCCTGCCCGGTCTCCTGAGCCTGGTCCCTGGAGTGCCCACCCCCAAAGTCTACAAGGGTCTTGCTGCGTATCCCTAGAGTGCCTTGCTTCAGAGAAGCCCGTATAGAGTCCCGCCGAGTATTTCGGAGTGCCAACCCTCAGAGAAGCCCGCGGAGTCTCGCCGAGTGCCCTGGAGCTCCCCACCTTCAGCGAATTCTGCGGGAGAATCCCGCGACTGAAGCCTGCAGCGAAGTATCTGTACTTGCATATGCAAACCAGAGGATGGCTCCCATATCAGGTAGCAGTAGGGGGATTATCGAAGTTAAATATCTAAGAGTTAACACTGCTTCTGCCAAGCGCCAGGCGGTTGAGCAGAAGGGCAAGCAAGCAGGCAGCAGGCAGCAGGCGTAGCGTATTGAAGGAAGCTCGGCAGCGTCGTGAGTGCAAAGCGTGGGGGGGGGGGGTCAAGAAGGGCTGGTCAGGGTTGGGTGAAGGGGTAGAGGGAGGGCCTCTTCTTTTGATGGTCATCTACCAGTGCCATACAAATGCATTGCGACACCAGCGCGAATGCGGGAAGGCCGGTCCACCCGTGGAGGTCACGACCCTTGCTCATGCCATTACTTTCCGTACAGTCGGTATAGAGTCCCCGATGGGGCAGCAGTGTGAGTTGGCCCTTCCCTTTCCCCAACGCAACGGATTCGAGTTCTGGCAGCGTGCAGACCTGCTGACCAGGTGAGCTGCAACAGCAGCAGCAGCACTGCCAACACCAGGCGTGGAGAACCTGCGTGTCCCGACATCTGACCCCTGGTTTGTTACGGCCCACAGGTTCCATCACAGCGACGGAATGCCGGCTCCGTCGCATTGCGACGTGCACATGGTGCATGGTCGACAGTCCTCGGCGCATGGAACGCCTGGCCAACCTCGTCTGACTGCGAGGCTGCAATGGGGAGGACCCTAGTCCTGGTCCAGCTGTGCAGGCCCATTCCTAGTCGAGGTTGGCGCCGCAGCCTATGCCCATAAAGTGGATGTCCCTGGTGGAGGCGTTGCAGTCGCAGCCTGGGAACACCATCTTATCGGCCCCGGCGCAACCCAACTCCCGTGGGAGCAGAGGTGGTGATCCAAGAGCAGTCGCGACGGGGACTCTTTCTTGGCTACTTGCGAGTACACGCAGTTGTCCGCTCAGTGGGCGACCCAGGTGCGGCTCTGGGAACATGTTGTCACTGATGGCGCTCGGGCGCGGGTCGGGGTATGCGGTGCTTTGTCGGTCATCCAGCTCGAGAAAAAACGTCGTAAACAGCGAGGAGAGTGTGCCCCGAGCCTGGCTCCTCCCCGAGCCGAGCCTGGTTCCTCCCTCCCAGCAGCTTGCCGGGGAACCCCTGTCACCCTAATGTGGGGCTACCCGAACTGGCCCCCGCGCCCCACAAAGCATTGCAGGGTCGCTTGAGGGCTGGAGGGATTGACAGGTTTAGCTTGGAGTGCTGAGGGCTTGGACACCTCAAGTGGCATCATTGAGGTTGAGGTGTTTCGAGAAGGAGTGCCTGTGGGTAGCACAAGAGCTCATGAAGCAGGTGCACTGCGCCCCACCGCTTGTCATCAGCGAAGGCTCACTTGCAGACTTTCCACCGGCGTGGGGTTCAGGGTTTGAATTGAAGGTTAAGAGGTTCCGAGTTTCTAGATGTTGATTTCCAAGGCTTGTTTGAGTTGCTGAGTAGCTGTTCTGCTGATGCTTTCCCTTGCCCTGGCCTCCTTCCGGATACTTCAACAATGTGTGGTCTTCTCGTCCATGCCAACCCTGGCTGGTTTCACACTCCCCGTTGTCTGAAAAGAACACAGTTGAAACATGCGCGGCCTGGGTTGATGAAAAGTGCCGTCGAACAGCAACCCTGGTACACTTTTGCCACTGACATATGCTAAATGCAACGGCCTGGCTGTTTCCCATCGCAGAAATTTGGCCTCCCAAACTCCGAATTTAAGATTCCCAGACCCTGCGCCTGAAACCTGGTATACTGGAGCAGAGTAAAGTGACCGGATGTATGAGCTGCAAGAACCAGTCAACACCCTGAAGCCCTAACAGCCGGCCTCGTACAGCGCGAGGTGAGCTGCGTGACGGCTTCCAGCGCTTAGATCGGGCACTCCAGGCTGGGCCTGGGGAAAGGGCTGGGGGTGTTCAGAAATGTGGTCTTTAAGTATTATGTTTTATGCAATGAAACAGTATCAACATTAAAAAACTATGATGTCTGAAGTAAACAGTATTAAGAATGTGGGTGATCTGCTTGGGGTATACTTTGCCGTGCTCATGCCAACGCTGTAGTTGTTGGTGATACATATCTGCCGTCGGGCAGCATGGGGCGAATGAGCCTGGTAAGGCTGGTCAGGCTCATGATGGCTCATGTTGCCTTGTCACGCTTTCCATTCGTCGGCAAGCTCAGACTTCAATGCGATTCGCATTTGAAAGCCTTTAGGCCCTGAACATCCCAGATCTCAGAAATCCCCCAAATCACTGAATCACAGTGGGCGCAGGTACTTGAGACCGCCTTTGCTGAACGCGGTGCGTAGCTGCCAGTGTAGCCAGCTTGCCCCTAGCCTGCTCCACCTCGATCATACCAGTCCACCGGCATCAAATTGAAAATGGTTCGGATGTTCCAGGTAAAGAGGGTTGGGGGGCTGTTGCGCACACGGCTTTCACCTATAGGCACGGCGCTTCCCTTGGTTAAAATTGGGCTCCGGTCGAGGGGCGCAGGCTTGACGTCTCGGTTTTCTTTTCGTGAGGATCCAAGGGTCCCAGCAGGTGAAATCGGTGCTCCCGCCTTGGTGCTATGTGAATCGTAAGAATACTATTATCATAATCCGAGCTTCTGATTAGTGGGTGGGGGGCCCCCCCCCCCCCCCCACAATAAGGAATGCAGGGTTCCGCAATAGTTGGACCATGGCCCTGTATTGATTCTCTATTAAAAACAATAGGCTGCAGATCCCTGAGGTGCTGTAGCTTTGCGTCTCCGCAAGCAAAACAAGAAGCCTGCCGACAGATTTTTGAACCCCCCCAAAAAAAATTCCTTTAAATGTGGGGGGTTTGTCCCATACGAAATCCACCCTAATGGAAAGTAGTCTTCCGGCGGGCTTCCGGCCAAAAAAAATTTCTTTAAATGTGGGGGTATTAATTAATCAGATGCTCGGATTACTATCATATTCATCAAATTCATCAGCTAAATCAGAGTAATCAATCATGGTAGCATATTCATCATATTCGTCAGATTAGATCAGAGTAATAAATCATGTGAATCATCATGTTAATCATGTTAAGCATGTTAAGCATGTTCATCATTAAAACAAGTAATCGTATTGACCGTAGTAACAATATGAAGATGAATAATGGCATTTCTGTTTCAATAATGTTCGAACTATTAGTGTCTTGCGAACATGCTGCAGAGGACGTATGAGCTTGTTGGGCTCGTCGATGGCTTTGCTCTGTGCGACCATTCTAGAGGGATTGCATTTTGTTGTTCGAAATCGTGCCTTCTACGTCCCACGCGCATTGGGTGGTCGAAATCGTGTTCCCGCTTGGAGATCCTCGCAAGGTGCACTCATTGAGGATGATTGCCTGGAGCCCCTACACACCGTTTGTTTTTTGATCGTTTGCGTTTCGTTTTGTTTTCACGGAATTTGACGGGCGAACGGGCGGGAAATATGGGTGTTTCGGAGTAATACGGGCGCTTGAGCCGGGAATGCCCAAATTACGAACAATCAAGCCCCAAACCCTAGCCAATCCCATAACAAAGGCTAGAATCTGGGAGCGCTATGGTGCTTGTCTAAGTACTGAACAACCCGCTTTTGCAGTGGACGAATTGAGGAAGTGGAGTTGGAACCTTCGATGGAGACTTTTGTGTTGGCCGTCGCTACGACTTTGTTGTGGAGACGCTTATCGATAAGCCTGGGGGAACTCATAGCCTTTTGTCCCAATGAATCATACGAGGGGGCTAAGAGGATCAAAGGGATGAAGTGGATGCTTGATGAGTTCCCTAGCAAGTCGACCGTGGGAGCTCACGGAGAAAACGTGAACGCCGAAGTTGCGGGGCGGTCTTCAGGCAGTAGTTTCGGCTTCCACTCTCTCGCATTTGGGGGTTAAGTTTTCAACTACAAGGCCAAGGTCCCAGTGTGAGGTGGTGATACACTGCCATGTTTCGGCATGCCTCTTGGGCATATGTGTGCGAGCCGAATCTTCATCGCGGGTACTTGGGTTGAAGAAGCTTCTACTCATAGGACCTATAGGACACTGGCATGAAAGGGCAGTGCAAAAGTGGAAAGGCTCCTTTAGGGTTGCTACACCCTGGGCATAGGCGCTCAACACGGGCACGAGGGATCTCGCCTCCCAAAAAAATCTTCATGTGGCTACGTGGCGTTAGCTTGCGAGTGCGCTCTCCAATCCATGAATGAGTGGTCGCTTGAGTTTAATGCCAGGCCCGAGGCCCGAGGCCCGAAACAGAAATCCCTTGAAACTCAGCGCTGCGAAGCTATTGAGTTTCTCTAGACCCTTCTTTTGCCGAGAGAACAAGAATTTGGCAACAAAAAAGTTGCAGATGTTGAAACCCAGGCCACCGCTCTCGAAAGAGGCAGCCGATGGCAAGAGGCATTTCTGGCATGTCCTTTCGTCTTCTCAGCTTGGCCCCTCCGCTGCTCCTGGGGGGTGCCTAAAATGCCCCAAAGCACTCTATATCTTTTGGGAACCTGGAACTGACAAATCTCCAATGACGTTGAAATCTCTTGTTGATTTTGTACCCAAATTCACTCCTTTCGCCATGGTGCCAGGCCATGGGGCTGCTTTGCCCTGGAACGCTTGGCCCAGGTCAGACTCATCTCCCCAAGATGTTCACAATAAAGGGAACTCTGAGAGAGACCCTAAACCCGAAATGCTAAACCCCAAACCCTAAACCTCAGAAGCCTCGAAGTCTCAGGCTTTGAGCTTAGGGCTTACTAGGGTTGAGGGCTTGAGCTTCTGTGCATGACTGCCTCAAACCGTTGGCCACAGGTGCGAAGTTCAAGATTCTCTAAGATATTGGTTCCGGCACTTATCCCAAAAGGGTTTTTGTTGCACACGTCTCTCCCTCTCTCTCTGTCGCATGCCTTGCCTTGTATCTTCTTACGCTTGCTGCCGCCACCCGTTCCCTCTGCTGAGCCTTGTGCAGATCCCGACATCACGACCTTCTCGGCATGCATCAGTGCAGTCGCAAAAGGTTGGCATCTCGGTTGACAGTGCACATGCGTATGCATCCTTTTTTATTCCTGCACATGTCGAGACTGCAGAAATGTCAGCTCAAAATCGGAGCATGCTCAGTTCTTCAGCGGATTGCTGGCCCGATGTCACATGTTCACGTAAGTTTCAAGCCATTTTTTTGGACAGATTGCATTTGCCTGCGCCGGTGATTTGTGCTGCTTTGTTTCCTGTGTGCTTCACGCGGCAGCACAACCCTCAGGACGAGGTGAGTAAAATGAAGTACATGTAGCAGATTCGGAACTTCCCGCTAAGTCTGGGAACGTACCAAGTCCTCAACAGATGGAAAACGGGATTCCTACCGGAATAGTAACAGTAATAACCATACTAATAAGAATCATAATAACTAATAGTAATACGAATAAACATATTAATTGTAAACGCTTGCGCGCGCCGCCTCGGCAGCCGGGCCGGCCCCAGGACAGGAAAGAGGAAAGAGGGTTTCGCAAAAAAGGGAGGAAGGGCAGAGCGGGTGGGGGGGGGGGTCGGGGGGGGTGAGGGCGGGGGTGGGGGGGGGTGGGGGGGGGGGGTGGGGTGGGGGGGGGGGGGGGGGGGGTGGGGGGTGGTGAGGGGTGGGGGGGGTTGGGGTGGGAGGGGGGTTTTTGAGGCACTCCCCCTGAGCCACCGACAAGCGGGACCCTCCACGGCATCGGTTTGCAGCTCCTCCAAGGGATTGGGGGGGGTCCCACAGGGCGGGGGGGGGGGGGGGGGGTGGCGTCAGAAAATTTGGTATGGGGGGAAGGGTTGGGTTAGGGGAAGGAGGCCCGATCCGGGTCTGCTTGTTCCAGACGCTTCTCGGCAGGAAGCCGAGGCGAATACTGATAGTGATAAGGAGTTGCCTGAGGTGTACCGGAGAATGGGCAGCTTCCAGTGGCGCTGCTGGCCGAGGCCGGACCGACGTCAGCATTGGCCAACAGACTTACAATTAGCACTTCTTAGGGTATTATCATTATGACTATTACTGTTATTATTATTGTTCTTCTTCTTATTATTTTATTTGTTTTTGACTCACTTCGAGTGCCCGTGGCCATTTTGGCCACATGATTGCCCCGATTCTCGGTCTCAAGCTACTTCCCCCCCACCACACCCTGTACGGCAGTAATCTCCTCTGCTTCCTGCCTGCAAGTCGTGTACCGGGATAAGGCCGAATACCGTCCGTCTTGAGGTTTAACCGGCTTATCGGTCGCTCGGCAAATCATTGGTGTTCAAACCACCGATTGCAGGTGGCGAAGTTTTTGCCACTGCAGTGGAAGCAGATGGAAAGTGGTTGCGCGCTTTGCAGAGGCTTCATCTGCAGCTCTCCTAGTTAAGGGCTGGGCATTCAACGCAATGCCCAACCGTCAAGTAGAGTAAGTCATACGCCTCTCGATGTAGCATGTCCAGGCAGTTGCTCGACGATTGTCGCCAGACGTGGGGCTGCCAGCATCAGGGAACTCTGTTGGGACGTGCCAGGTTTCCACAAGACGTGTACACTATTCTGGCATGGCAAGGTAGTCCTAAACAAAGCCCCCCCACCACATGCTTTCGGAGTCTTGTGATCGACCTGCTGGGTGAGCTTCGGGATTCGGAACTAGGTGACGGGGAAGCGCTCAAATGAACTGTGGCTTGACATCACTTGCCATCGCTTGGCTTGTCCGTGCGTGTTGAAAGTGCTTGCAGTGCACCCGCCCCTAGTTTAGGGCTTAGGGTTTAGGGTTTAGGGTTTAGAGTAGCTCAGACTCAAGGCCTTTGCTCCAAGCGTCCAATTCGCTTGCCAGGGAAGTTGGTAGGGAGGTAGAAGTTCTGATGTGCGCGGACTGACCCGCAAAGATCGAGGTCATCGCTTGTACCTCGGTCATCAGCGCGTGCGGGAAAAGTCCACAATGGGAGGCCCGTGTCATTCAGGGTTCCTTCGCATGAGTGTTGAGTGGAGCAGTTGCTTTCCTTGCCTAGACTGGGCCGAGGTTTTTCCTCACCCCACTGCGTCCCAAGGCCCTGTAAGCCATATCCAGAATGCATAGCAAGGAGATCTCAGCCCATGGCTCCCCGAAAGCACAGCCCGAAAGCTCCACAAAGCCTCAACCCTCAGAGCAGTCACGCAGACCACGTGGGCTTGTGCGGGTTGCAAGGTGTTACGGCCCGGAGGAGCTCACAACTGAAGGGCTTGGGTCTTCCAGTTTCTGGGCATCCCAATAGGTCCTAGGTAGAAGTCTAGGCAAGAGGCACCACGCGCAGGAACACCTCCAATCGGCCCAGCCACCTCGTGGCCTTGGCATTCGTGAATCATGGTCGGGTCATTGAGACTGCGGTTTCCAGCTGTCGGGGGGGGGGGGGGGGGCACTCAATGCACCGTGGCTTAGGGTTGCTTTCACTCCCAGGCTGTAAAGCTCTTTTGCTCAGCAAGTCCCTCAGCCCTCCCAAAAAGTAAAAACGCATCGAAACTTGCTCAAGCCCAAGCAACCCCCAATCAACCCGACACCCCCCAAAACCCAACGCGGCCCTTCTCAGATGGCTTTGGAAGTGCTGGAGATGCTTCGACCTTGCCCCAGGTTTAGGGGGTTTAGGGTTTAGGGTTTAGGGTTTAGGGTTTAGGGTTTAGGGTTTAGGGTTTAGGGTTTAGGGTTTAGGGTTTAGGGTTTAGGGTTTCTTGGTTTAGGGCAGCTGGGCTTGCCTTTGGGATGTTGACCGCTATCAGCTGTTCGGTGTCTCAGGATCTTGGGCTTGGCGGATGTTTGTTTTGGGGGGCTCAAGGATTTCTGACATGTAACTCTCCAGTTGGAGCTACAAGGGCCTGGGACGATGGGAGGTACCAACTTGCGACAGCAAGGGTTGCGAAGCAGCGTACGCTTCTCCGATCGAGATCGATTTGGTATTTTACAACTCGTGAAACTACTGGCGCCGGAGCCGCCGGGCTAAGTTCCTAACAGTGAAGCCCTGCAAGCCCCAAAACCCCCAAGCCCTGAAACCGCCCTTAACGAGAAGCCTTGAAGTCGAACCCTAGCCTAACCCCTAAAACCGCATGCCTGAAGAGGTGGGGGGGGAGGGGGAAGGAGTACCTAGACGATCATGACCCGAAAGCCCCAAAACTGAAAAGAGCTAAGCCCTAAGACCTTAAACCCCTAGAGCCTAGAACTCTAAGCCCCAAACCCACAGCCACACCGGTGGGGGGGGGGGAGCAGGGGGCCGCGGAGCGCGTAAACGGACTGCTTCTGTCACCCAGGCATGCAGCCCGGCATCCAGCCAAATGTCGTCTGCCACACGGCTTGATCATGCTTTTGGTTTCCATGGTTGGTTTGGAAGGCTTGCGTGTTGCCGCTACGGCAGAAGTCCGGATAAGAAAGGCGCTCGGTGAATGTGTGAAGAGACTCCAGCCAAAGGAGGCCAAAGGAAGAAGAAAAAAGAAACTAGATGCAAGTCATACTCTGTTTCTTTCTCATCAACCCCACACGGTTGTTATTTTAGGGTAAGCCCGTCTCTATGTTCTTGTGTTTGTGTGCCCTTGCCTGAGCGGCTCACATAGCCCAGCCCCCTCAGGTTGCACCCCTCGGAGGTGCAGCCCGAGCTTCCCGAGTCAGCCCGAGGTACATGTCCCAATACATGGGGGCTTACGAAAATAATATAGGGGACCCCCAATGTAGATCCCCAAATAATAGGATCCCCTTACCCCTAGTTTGGGAAATCCCCACATCGCTCGAGGGCCTGAGAAGACTTAAGGTAGTTTTTTGCTTCTTCTCAGAGAGGGCTCCAAGTTAGCCTCCGCCCCCCCGTTGACAACCTCCACACAAAGCATCTGTGTGTACCCAAAAATCAAATCTTCATCAAACCATATCAAACCTCAGCTGATAGGTGTTGGCATTCGCGGGCAATTTCTTCTATACGGTTATCCTGATCAAGTACCTTAGGTTGGGCTGAAGAGAGAATGTGTTTGGGCATTCTTTCAGCACGTGCTGAAACTCTTCCAGAATTAAACTCGTGCAGTGCCGTATAGTGGTCAAGTTCGAGCTTGACTTTTTGATCCTTTTCCTTGGGTGTGCAGAACTGAGTCACCGAGGTTTCAGTGCTGCGATTTCAGTTCGGAGCCCGGACTGGAATTTCGCAGTTCTGTGGTTTGTTTCAGCTTCAAGTCTTGACGGTGCAGCGTCACCAGTTTTCACCTGCCATGCACTGCAGTGGGGGGGATGCACTTGGAGTCGAAAGCAAACACCCTTCTTCAATGGCATGACTTGGGATGTTGCTCCCTATTAGGATCCCGATGAGGGACTGTTAGTACCAGGGGGAACATCCCAAGAAAATTGGGGTTTAGGGTTTAGGGTTTAGGGTTTAGGGTTTAGGGCTCAGGGTAGGGCCGTAAGGTGCCTGATCTCCATTCTGAAACGCGTGACGCTCTGGGAGCCACCGAGGCCTGCGCAAAAGGCCATTTCTGGGAGGCTGCTGAGATGTGGGCCTACGTTGGCCTAAGTGGACCCGTGACCCCCCTTCACAAAAACATCCGCGCCTTGTCTTCTTCGAGGACTCAGTATGACGGAAAAGGGTCAAAGTTATAGATATCTATAGATGGGATAGCACCCGTGACCAGGCTCAGGATTGTGCTTTTGGTCCATTTGGGCTTTCGTGATTGCCGGTCAGGTCCAAGCTCCTGCTTCGGGCTTTGGTCAGCTTTTTGGACTTACGTAGGGTCAGCCAAGACGTCCTTTGTGGAAACCCCCTCCCGATCCCTCCCGCTTTCGAAAGCAGCCGCGACAAACACACTGTAGCAACCGGCGCCTGAAAACTGATGCTTTGCCGCAAGCGACCGCTCTTGAACTCAGGGCTTTTTGTGTTGCTTCTGAGTCTCGTCGGATACCGTCATGATCAAACACCGACAGACCTTTTGGAAGGATGTTTTAAATCCCAAGGCCGGAAACGCACAAACGTTCCCGACTAGCTGGTGCTAGAGCAGTTTCAGGCCGGCCGCTCGACTGTGAGAAGCTTTGAAAATCAACGGCTACAGTAATTCGGCAGCTGTCTTTGCACATGACCAACGCTTTTCCTTTAAGGAATCTCGTAGAAATCCCCCTAAACCCTAAACCCCTAATCCCCTTTACAATGCACGCCAATGCTGACAGCGCAAGGCTGCCTTCGCTCTGCTCGACGAGCTTCAAGACAGTGCCCTGGTTCCGGCAGTTCCGGCGCCGTTGCAAAGGTAAGTTGGTGCTCAGTGGCTTCCGGGCAAAGATGATTGCAAAGGTTAGAAGAGCCGAATGTGTGCCTTTTCCTCTGCATGCATTCGGTTCACTTCTGGAGCTTATCGCCCGAGGGCACATGAAACCCAGCAAGTTCCTGCCAAGAAGTTTTGCGATTGATCCGCAGGGAATCACTCAAGTGAGCGACTTCGAAAGACAACTTAACAGGCGCGAGAGGGCACTCTTAGGGCAGGATTCGAAGCTTGTAAGGTTCTAAAGATCCCAAATGCCTCCGGTGGAGAGGCTCCGTTCCAAAGTGTCGGATAGTGCAACCTCGTGATCCCAGCGCAGATCAGCCAAAATTCCTCGTTCTAAATGATCAGTTTTCACCTACTTGTGCTTCCGCGCGCCGCGCGTAAGCGCAAGTCCGCCAAGATTCCTCGTTCTAAATGGTCCGTTTTCACCTACTTGTGCTTCCGCGCGCTGCGCATAAGCGCAAGGCAACCAAAATCACTCACTGTAAAGAGTGTGTTTTCAGCCACTTGCCAAATCCTGAATCCGTACTCCAAAGCTCACTTGTGCTACCGCGCACGGCGCGGAAGCGCAAGTGACCACATCCATGGCGCAAGTACAGGTTGCCATAGCGCGCACTTGTGCTATGGATGGGGTCGCTTGTGCTACCGCGCGCGGCACGGAAGCGCAAGTGGGATTTGGAGTACGGGTTCCCAAGTCGATGAAAATCCCATGCACTGTTGCACTGCGTGAATAAAAACACCCACCCCCTCCCCCCCCCCGACCCTCTTTAAAGAAATTAGAAGCACCCCAATCTAGGGGCAGCCATCCTCAAGCCTCAGGCCCTTGAGGCCCACAGTGGCCATTCTGCTGTTGCCACAAGCTATTTCCACTTTTCGGTCCAGGAAAAGTTGATTTGGCTTGTCGTTTTGATATAGTTCTAGTTCTGGAGTGTTGTTCTTGAGTGTTCAGAGCTCAGCAGCATGATCAGTACTTCTGTGTTAACTCTGCTGTATTGCTGAGAGACCATGCTTTCACCCCTGGAAAACCACAGCGACCATTCTGCTGTTGCCACAAGCTATTTGAAATTTTCGGTCCAGAAAAAGTTGATTCGGCTTGTCGTTTTGATGTAGTTCTACTTCTGGAGTGTTGTTCTTGAGTGTTCAGAGCTCAGCAACTCTTGCTGTGTTGCTTACTGAGCAACTGTCAAGGCTATCTGTTTGTCGAAAGGCCGTATGGTACCCCAGACGGTAGTTCAACTTTGGACTGACAGAGAAGTGGAATAGCCTTATCAAAACCACTAAGACAACGTCCAACGCCACCAAAATATTTTTGTTTTCCATGTGCCACCATCTTGAGCCCCCTTGCCTGCGCCACATGTGGTTTAAGCTGTGATTTGCACAACTACCTTATGTGTGGTTTCCCATGGTTTCCCAATTTGGAACGGGAGGCTTCCCCACCGGAGGCATTTGGGATCTCTATATTGTTCCTGTGCCAGGACCTTATTGCGTTCAACGCAGCCATCACCGCCTGCGAGAAGGCACGGCGGCCTGGCTTCGAGTCCCCTGTGTCTCGTTACGCTTAGGACCCTGATTTGCCGAGGGGCCGTTTCGTTCGCCCTGATTTGGAGACGCAGCAAGCACATCGGTAAATCCTTCCGCAACCCACAAAAGGCACGAAGGCACGAGTTCGGACTTAGACTAGCAAGGTTCCCCGCCCGATATCAGCATAATGTAGGGGTCGGAAGGGGTCGGAAGAAATACTAATAATTCCCTTAGGGTCCCTATATAATTATTAGTAAGGCTCGTACTGTAAATCAGGAAGATTTCTGCCTTGAGCACCTCTGCCTGCTCTCCGTCGCTGCATGAACTTGTGCAGAGGCCCAACGCTGGGAGTTCGCCATCGAACTTCTGATGATGATGAGCCGGGTGCACAGCCACCATCAGCCACCAGTTCACGGCTCACATCTCCCAACGTATTGCTTTCCAGGTCCGGGTCACAGCCAGGGCTAGGTGCCATGCCCTGTATGGGCTATACGGGCCATATATGCATGCTCCGAAACCCTCTGAGTGATCCGAACAAATTTCGGGACACCTCCAGAAGGCTTGAGGCATCTTTGGAGGCCCAGGACAAGGAACACAAGGAACACGCTAGCCGGAAATGCATCCTGACCCTCCCCAAGCTGGAAAGTAACTGGAAAGCGAAACGCCTGGCATGGGAGGGATTTCAGATGGCACTAGTTTAAATTTGATACTCAACAACGGGCGACATCCAGCTAATGCCAGTGAGCTGGTGGTTTGAGGTTTGCTGTCGGCAGCTCTGTAGCTGCTACGGGGACTGCAATCCGGGCTTCGGCTTCAATCTGCTGGGTTTCGGACCGGAATGTGGGAGTTAAATGGACTTACAGTCGCGTGTGGATCCAATACGCATTGGGGTCGGGTTCGGGGTTTGTAGGCTGTAGAGGGGTGGGTGTGGGCCCGCCACAGGCAACTTCGTGCTAGCGCCCGACATTGTTTCCTTCAACGCCGCGGTCATGACGCTCAGTTGGCTGGCAGAGAGCGGATGACGCCTCAATTCAATGTCTAGACCCCGAACGCCTGACACCGCAGACGCAGCTGCGCACCAGAAGCAAGTAGTCCTCAGCGAAGCAACAAAGGCGACTGTTGCGACACGCGCTTCCTTTGGTAGACATCTAGTAAAAAGCGTTGCATGTCCATCAGAGCTTCAAGTTCAAGACCCCTAAACGTAAGACCCCTCAGTGAGCTGAAGGCCTCCGCCTGCGAAAAGCGCAGTCAGTGGTGCTGGATGCTCGGCGAAGCATATCCGGAGTCGCCGAAGTTTAGGCTAAGTTGAAAAAAGTACCAACAGGTTGCGTTTTGGGAGTTTCGTTGAAGTTTCGAGCTTGAAGCCCGCATGGTTCGCATGATAAGAATTGTATAGATGTGGCGAGATGTGTCGCGCCATTCATGCATGGGGTGAAAACTGCCTCCTCGGTCGTGCCTTCAGGCATCACCTTGTTGCCTTGTCACTCCCGCACTGTTCTCAATTTCCCCTCAGTCATAGTATTAGGCAGTGATCAAACATGATGAAGGCGATCCGACCGTTTGAATACTCAAGCGATCAATGCTCAAGCAGAGCCTTACATACCAAACGTTGGCGGCAAAGCGGGTTCCGTAGATCCCGCATCAAGGCTGGGCGTTGTGGATAGCCTCACAGCGAGAGAGGCGCCAGCACGAGAGGGTTGAACCTGCTGTTTCGATGCTCCGGCCTTCACGAGTTCAACCGGCGCACCTGAAACTTCACAAGCCCTAGAGCAATGAACGTGCTTGGCTGCAAGCATACTGCTTTGCAGCTTGAAAACCAACAGGATTTGACCGCGACGTTGCAGGCTTTATGGGCTTTTGAGGTTGTAGTTCTTCATCCGACAAGTGGGTTGTTACTGGTAGATTTCAGGAATGAGTGGCTCGCATCATGTGACACGACGTGCTCAGGACAGCAGGCAGTACAGCTTTGAGGCAGTACAGCCTTCAGGACAACAGGCGGGCAACCGTACCGGAATCCTCCCTGAATAAGCAAGCCAAGGAGGCTCAGGCGGGCAACTGTACCGGAATGTGGACTGAACAGCAGAGCTGTATCGAAAAGATGCCTTAATACGCAGGCCAAGGAGGCACGGGCCACTGTTTGCACTCGCTGGGCGGCACTGTGATTGTTGTCGCATGCATGTGCCAACTCATAATGCTTTGTCGGCAATGTCAGTGCCAGCACTAGGGTGCTTGCACGGGCCCTTGCATGTCTGACATATTCAAATTTGCATATTCCCCCACCCGACAAGATGGGCTCACGGCATGGGGGACCAAAGGCAGACAGCATTGTCGACATGTGGCCTCCATAAGACTGTTTGGGAGGCGACTGTACCAGAATTTGGCTTCCATAGGCAGGCCAGGGAAGCTCTGTCGGACAACCAGATAATCGGCGGCTCATGCTCGGCGGCTCAGATGGGCGTTTGCTGGAAAGCGCCCTGCATAAGCAGGCTTCGGATGCGCGACTGTGCCGAATTCTGATGTTTGAGAAGCAGGCCAGTGGTACGGAACAGGGAGACTAAGCACGCCAGCGAGACACAGACGGGCGACGGTGTTGGAAGGTGGCTCTCAATGGCTCTCAATAACCAGTCCGTAACCGTTTCGCGGTTGTCGGGCCTGTTGGCAATGCCTGCTGACAGCTATGCAAAGGGCAGTACAAGTGCCCTTTCACTCGCTTCTACATGAGCTTTCCGGTAGAGGCATTGCAGGCCCGTGCGGGTAGCTGTGGCTGCACAAGCCAAATCTGATTGGTCCGTGAAAAGGATTCGAAGCTCAAGGGCATATAGCTGGCAACGAGTTCACGGTTGGCGGGGGCTGCGCAAACCCTATCTCATTGGTCTACATAAGGGGGCTCGAAGCTGCAAGGGCTTCCCAGTAAAGGTTACACTTTTGGCGGACCCTGCGCGGTCAGGGATTCACATATTTTTTTGTCATGAGTTATGTGCGACTTTTAATTCGAAGCTCAGGAACACTTTTTCTCATGCTTCGTGTACGATTGCAGAAAGCACAGAAGCCCGAAGCGTTGTTTGCAACGTTCTAAAGCTTGAGCCGGTAGTCCTACTTGGAGTGGAGGATGTTGTTCACTCGGGATCGTTGGAATTGCCTTAAATTACGCCTCCCGAGCCTACCATACAGCCAGCAACACCCAAAAAACATTTTCCTTGATCCCAGCAATCTCGAAACACCAAATCCCAAGCAACACCCAATGCTGTGCCTTATCTATTTGCTGCAAATGAAGCAGACAATCTGCGAGTGCTGCCCCAGCCCGTAACCTTGCACTCGGAACTTGTTCCATCGGACCATGACCTCTCCCTTGTTCGAAGCAGGCTTAATCCAAACTTAGCCAAATGCACGACTCCCCGGATTTTCCAAAACGCACCGGTCCCGTTTTGACGTCGGTTTCTTGCCTCGCTTTGTTCGAGAAGCAGTCTTGGTCTGAATTCTCTTCCGAACATGGCGGAACAAGACCCCTCAAGACTGACACGTCCGGAATCCCTGGCCTTAAAGTGCTGAAACCCTACACCTTCTTACACCTTCAACCTGACCCCCTACAATCCTGAAACTCAAATCCTGAAAGCCTCAATCGCAAATTTGCGGAAGGTGCCTGCCAAAGATGCGAGGCGCCCCCGTCCTCAATTTGAGTGCAAGGCTGCCGGGGTTTAGCTAAGGTCTATGTATGTTGGATTTGTAGCTATGATGTTGGACATATGGGATGAAGGATGGTAAAGTTTGCGACCAAAACCACTGCGTCGCTGCCAGTTTTCGCTCGTGCCAACTGTAGGCGGTTTACTTTGAGGCCATCATATCCCAAGACTTGAAGGAGTACCTGATGCTTTCTTCTTCTGCAAGTGCGTATGCCAGGCCCTGAGCTGCTAACCATCAGCAACGCTTGCATCAGTGCTTGCGCGAAGGCACACTTGCGGGCTTTGGGAATGAGAGGGCGGAAAATTGTAGGAGTAAATGCATTGGCGTGTTCTAAAATTGGGATTGAGAGATTGCCTTGCTCAGTGCGTTTCAATGTGGCTTGGGAGTTCTGGAGATGTTGAGTTTGTGACCCCGAAAACTCGGCAATGACTTAGCAGAAGATCACAAAGTAACTAGAGCCCAGTCAGTTGCACCTGTTAGTCCATTAACTACATGCCACTTGCTATTTGCACTATCAGCACATGGCTCAGGGTTAAAGCACAAGAATGCACTCGCCTGACAATGACGTGCTCTTAATTGCTCCAGGCCTCGGTTGATCGTTTTGCCACTCCTCGGAGTTGCAATTAATCAGGGTAAGCAGCTCATGTGACAAAACAACTTTCTGGTAAGGAGTTGTGCCTTCAACCATTTAGGCGTTAACCCTCAAACTAACATGTGTGAAGCAAACGTCCCTGGCAGGCACGACGGCTGAGCGAAGCCTTGGCGCTGGGGCCAGGGGCTCTGTGGCAGTAGCTTCGTTTCCGCTGCCGAAAGCTCAAGATGCTTAAGACACAGACAAGTGGAGGTTCTGAGCCAGGGTCGGTTGCCGTTACTTGTGTACGGGTTTAAAGGGGATTAGGATGGGTGAGTAGGCCGACGGATTGCTGGCTGCCATTTGGCAGTTCTGGGCCAAAACCTTACTCAGAACCCAAGCCACCTATAGGGTGAGGCTTCGGGCCTGTAGCCTTCGGCTATCTCCTTTACCCACCCACACGGGTTCCTATGTTGGGGAAGGCCGACCCTCTCATACCTTCTGGCTATCCTGCAACGCGCAGTCCCGGTCTCCTTCCCTCCCCACGTCCCGGGTTCCAGGGCCACGACTGGAAGTCAAACCTACCACCCCGACCGGACCCCGGAGAAACCTAGTAATCCTACTACTGAACTGTGCGACATGAAACCTTTTAGCTCTACCATGACGCGACCAACGTCCAACCCAAGACCGGACCTAACCCGACCCCCTAAGCATCCGCAACGCGCATTGCCCGGGGCTGCGGGGGTGGGGGCGACCCTAAACCCTAAACAGCCCTCTTGGAGTGGTCCAAAATGGTCTTACGGCATGCTCTTGGAGTGCTTTTGGGGGGTGTTCTTTCAATAGAATCCCGAGCCCCAAGCCTGCGATCCTGGTAAGCCTCCCTTTGTGGGAGCTGCATGTTGGGTGCTGTGCATTCTTATGAGAAAGTGTGGAGCTCCTGTTGATTTTGCCAGTTGAGGCAATGCAAAGCTGGGAAGAGAACACAACCCTTGTCAGATTTTGCCCGGTTTTTTGAAGGAGTAGTTCTCCACACCCTCCCAGGCTCGAAGTTGAAGCACCAGACAAGGCGTTGATGCCGAACATGTCGGAGTTCACAGAGTTTGTAGGACTAGGACGTGGGGCTTGGGGATGTGAGGTGTTGGGGTCGGCTCGGACAGTCTCGGTAGTCAAGGGTTCCACAGTCCAAAAGAAAAGGTCCTTCACATCAGTCGCCTTTGATGCACTCACCCCCGTGGAAGAGTGCGGCATGGAGGCTTCCGTGGGCTCAAGGGCTCCTATATTTCAGACCCCACCTCGCCCTCAAGGCATGGGACTCTGGATATGGCAACGCGCCTTGATCCGATCCCTCAGTAGAACTCCCTCTGTAGCTCAAGTTCAATTCGAGGGCCTCTGCACAGCTTCTGAGCATACTGTGCATTCCCTGCATCTTCTGCCCCGGACCCATCAGCAGTGCGACTACCAAGCACGCTGTATCCCGGCAACAAAGGTCTGCGAAAGTTTCGTGAGTGGTTATCACTTCAAAGTTTCTAGTTGCCTGGCGGACCAGGTGACCTACAATGCCCTTGTGACAGCCTGTCCGGTCCCCAGTGCCAATTGTTGGTGCCTGGCCATGTGTCTGGGATGTCCGCCTTGTTGCACTGGACTTTGGGGTGGGAGGATCAATGCAGTTTAGAGGGATCTAGAGGTTTGGATTGCCTCAGTGGGCTGTGCGCCCTCAAACGTGTGGACACTGGCAGTCTAGGCCTAAATCCCCTCAGTAGGCAAGATCAAGACACATGCTGGACAAATTCAGTTCCATACACCACTTGTGAGCAAAAAATAGCTTCCCAAACCCAGTCTAGATCCCAAGCACTAGCGAGATTCTGTTGGGGCTTGGGGCTGCTGACATTGAGCGCTTACGAGTAGCTTGCGGAAGCCTCCTTGAGCCCGCAAGCTCCGGTGGACGTGCTTTCGCGCACCCACGAGCGCTAATCTGGAGCTCCTGGTACCCCTTCTCCGCATGTATGTATATGTATATGTATGCATATGGTCCCCCACGTACCCCCAGGAAGGTCTAAGCGCCAAGATATCTGCGTGTCTCTGTAAATTCGACCAGTTCAGCGTGAATCGACCCGAGTCAGGTAGATTCGGCACCCGTTGTCTTCATCATTGAAGACCCCACTCAAAAAACACCTTGGGAAGTCTTCAACTTTAGTTTCGAGCCCAGGCCCGCACGGTAGAATCTCTGACCCGTAAGAGGAGGTTTAGTTATGTATCCCAATTCGGGTAAGCCATGATGTGAGCGACCGTTTGAATTGTCCCAAGTGCATAGGACCCTTATGGGCTGTTTGGCCTCGCTCTCATCCAGTGATTTCCCCAGTGAAATGATTTCCATTAATGAGGCTGTTTAAAGTCCCCTGAAAGTTTTGAAGATGACGAGGCTCTTTTTTGGTTTGCATGGTTTCGGCACCCATTCAACTTTAAAAGTAGCCTTTGAAGTCCGTGAGGGCTGGTCGGCCCCTAAAGTCCTTAGAGTCGGTGCGGGAGTGCAAGCTTTTGCGGTTTCGCACGTGCAAACAACACCAGAGTCTCTGGATGAGGAGAGGGGTTCGTGTAGAAAACGCATGCAGGAGCGCTCGCACGATAGGTTGGACCTCTAGCAATTGTAGGTCGGTCACCCGGTGGCGAGCGCTGGGACATGCTGTTTGCGCTGATGCGGCGGATGCAGAGGCTCTGAAAGTCTTAGGCTTGAGCAGTGACCACCTTGCCTTCACTTTGCTACTTCTTCCGTGCCTTTGCTCTGTCCCGCTTGCGTTGGCCGGTTCTCTTTGCATGTTACTCGGACGGTTCTGAGCGCCCTAAACCCTAAACCCTAAACCCTATACCCTAGACCCTAGACCCTAAACCCTATAAACCCTAAACCCTAAACACTAACAAACAAACCCCAAAGCTTGCGGGGTGAGGCGGCGGCTGCTCGCTGGGGCCGACGTCCTTGGCCCAGCCGTCGAGGCCGCTTTGGAGGCGCGGAGGATTATTTTGGGGTTTAGGGTTTAGGGTTTAGGGTTAGGGCTCAGGGTGCTTCATTCGATGCTTCGAAGCTATTCGCGAAGGTGTTGTTTGAAATTCACACCTTTTTTCAGGTGATTCTGCTTAGCAGTTCGCTTTACGGTATCCCATTCCGGGAGCAATGATGTTGGCGTGACAGCGCGGTCCAGCATGAGTGTCTCGAGCACGGCTCCGATAGTGACCGATAGTGCTGTCGTCGGCTCCAGGTAGGGTCGCACGATTCATCACCTATCTGCCGTGCATATTAGTTCGATCGCGCCGGGCTGTATACAGCCGAGAGGCACCTGCGATTGCACAGCTTCGCTCACTTACATGGTGGCCGGTTTTCTTGGTTGCTTTACATAAAGGTCAGCTTGCGTTCACCGGACTCAGTTTCACCGCATGCTGGAAACCCCGAACTTCTTTGCTGGTAACTGGTACCGGCCGAGCTATGGTTTTATGAGCTTGTAGCGGTCTTATAAGTTGATGTGAGTGCCACTTTGTTTGCGCTTTGCAGAAGCGTGCTCGACTGATATCATTGCACAAGAGCCGACAACCCTGCAGTGTTGAACCCTGCTCCCCGCTTTCAGTCGAGGTTAGTACAAGGTTTTGTACATTGCATGTTGTCGTGCTGGCAGAATGATCTCGAGCTTTAGTAAGAAGTAGCTGGACCCTTGCTTAGCTTCACTGACGGTGCTGGCAATATCCTGACACGTTCACCTAACACAAAAGCAGATCCACCCTGGCAACCCATGGCTGCAGTTTCCGAGTTAAGCTCCATATGGTGAAGGTTCCCATACCCCCTTGGGAAGTATTTTTTGTTTCTTTCAAACCCAACAGGATATTAAAATATTGTGTTTATTAAGGTTCTAAGGGGAGTATAGGTTCAAGTTGTTGACTGGATCGCAATCGTGTCGGCGAGGCAGGCGAAGCAGCAGCAGCGAGGCCTCATGTCGGAAATGTTGCGTAAGGAGTGCGATGTGTGCGCCTCCACTCAATAGCAAATGTTAACAGCGCTCTACAATCTTAAAATCTCTTTTCTTAAAGCCTTGAACCCAATAGTGCCCAAAGAGCCCGAAAGGCCCAACGGCCCAACACACTGCGGTTAAGGACCTCAAACCGACAAGAGCCCTGGTATTTCCCTGTCGCTTGGGGCCATCGAAGCCCTCAACGTTTGCAGAGCTTAAGGTAGTGTGTGCGGATGCAGTTGCGCTGTTTCACAAGTTCGGCAGATAAGACAGATTCAGACAGATGGGATGAGGCCGTTGATGAAGCGCCTCGAGCAAAGCTGCGTGCAGGGCACTCGGTCGTCTGTCTGCAGCAGGCTCCTTTAAGGTGCGACCCGAACTCTAATTAAGCTCTAAACTGGAGGCTTAGAATTGGTTTAGCTTGGTTGACATGAAAGGACATTGTCAGCCAGGGTATGGCCGCAAGTAAATTCAGAAGTCATCTCTGGTTGAAGCGTGTTGGAATGCACGACTTGAGAAGTCACAAAGGATTCCCAACACGACTAGAACACACACAACTCACTTCTAGGACCGTAAACTGATTCCAGAACACACAAATCGTTGAAAAGAGCCGCAATGGCTCTAGAAATGTCACTGTCGAGACACGACACTCGCGACAGATGCTTCTGAATCGCTTAGACCCCAAGGAATATACCTGAATCAAATTAGGGTTCCTATCATACTTTAAGGTATATTCCCTAATTAAGGGGCTTTGGAGTCTCTGGGGGCACGTTTTGCTCTTGAAGGTCGGAGCTGGCAGGCAGTTCTTGATCTCCCCGAGGCCAAGCAGCCACGGGTTTAGGGTTTAGGATTTAGGGTTTAGGTTTAGGGTTTAGGGGCTGGAGCATGAGAATGTGGGGCTTTAGGATTTTGGGCGGGATAAGGTTAGTCTGGATCTGGGAGTGAGGTCTCGATGCTGCACATGAAGGCTAGATTCATTTTTGGGGGGGGGGGGGGGTTTAGCGGGGCACTCGTGCTGATTGGCTACAGATCTGCGCTGCAACATGTTGCAAAGTCCTCAGAATCTACTTCCTTTTTCTATAAATTAACACAACTTTCAACGTCATTAAAACTATTTCTAATACGCTGGGGAGCTTCATCTTCCAGCAGTTGTCTTCATGCCCCGTTGCAGACCTTGGGCACCGCATCCTCGCCACTGCAAAGCCTCAGCCCAAACCAGGTAGGCATTACAACGTTTTAGGGTTTTGGGGTTTTGGATTTTGGGGTTTTGGGGTTTTGGGGTTTTGGGGTTTTGGGGTTTGGGGTTTTGGGGTTTTGGGGTTTTGGGGTTTTGGGGTTTTGGGGTTTTGGGGTTTTGGGGTTTTGGGGGGTTTGGGGTTTTGGGGTTTTGGGGCTTGGGGGCTTTGGGGCTTTGGGGCTTTGGGGCTTTTGGGCTTTGGGGCTTGGGGCTTTGGGGCTTTGGGGCTTGGGGTTTTGGGGTTTTGGGGTTTTGGGGTTTTTTTGGGGTTTTGGGGTTTTGGGGTTTTGGGGTTTTGGGGTTTTGGGGTTTTGGGGTTTTGGGGTTTTGGGGTTTTGGGGTTTTGGGGTTTTGGAGCTCGCAGGGCAAAGGTAAACGTTGTACCATACTCCTGCCCTCTGAGTCTTCAGAGCTCCAAACATTCCATTGCGCAGTCCACATGCGCCTCCAAACATTTAGCTTTGCCATGTTTTCATATGCTTTCATTCGTTCAATCATCTCGGGCTGTAGACTCGCACACCATTGCATGGCGACGGCCAAAGCAGCAACTCACTCAACCACGAGTCATGTCGTGTCTGGATTAAGTAGTAGTGTGCGCATATGTGCACTCTCGCTAGTGCTCAGGCTGCCAATACAGCACTCACTGCTGAGTCATGATGTGCCTGGATGAAGTAAGTTCGGTGCGCATGTGTGCGTTCTCGCTGGTGCTCCGTCTTCGAGCCCGTGTTCTTGGACCGCATGCGGGTTTCTCCAAAATGCACCGCAGAGAGAACTTGTGAGCCCTCTGTGTTGGCATCACAGCACCTGACGTCATGGCAGCTGTGATGAAGGGAAAGCAGAGGTCAACGCCCCAAGTCCTTCGACTAGCACATGCCCCTAAATGCCACGCTCACTATTGGTCTGTCTCGCCGCTGTCTTCTGCAGCGGAAGCAGATGCAAAGCAGCTTGCCAATACGGCACTTACTGCTGAACCCTGATGTGTCTGGATGACTTAAGTAGGGTACGCATGTGTGCGTTCTGGCTGGTGCTCCGTCTTCGAGCCCGTGTTCTTGGACCGCATGCGGGTTTCTCCAAAATGCACCGCAGAGAGAACTTGTGAGCCCTCTGTGTTGGCATCACAGCACCTGATGTCATGGCAGCTGTGATGAAAGGCAAAGCAGAGGTCAACGAACACGAGACCATGATCATCTTTATCATGCAAAGGTCTACTTGCACTGGGTTGTTTTTTTGTGGATGACTTGCTTAGGGTGCCAGCCTTGAGAGTTGTGGGTACTGAGAATGGTTCGGCCGTCCCTTTTCTGAGCAGCTGGGAAGCCGGATCTTTTGAGAGTCCCCTGTCGCTCCAGCGACACACCGAAACCCTAAGCCCTGAAGGCCCAAGACCCCGAGCACCCCGAGCTCCACACATTCTGGTGTCCCAAGTTAGAGCATACAGTACTACAGGCACCTTTGTGCAATGGAACCCTTAAGAATGGTTCAGGGTATAGCGGTAAGAGTCCGAAGATTGTAGGTTTGGGGACCCCTATGCCTCTGAAGCCTCGAATAGCCCACAGGTGCAGCTCTTCATGACCATGACCAACGCGAGCAGGCTGCCGGCCCAGGACTTTTGTTCTCTACGCTCGCTGTGTGGAGTTTGGCTTCCAGGGCCTTTGGAGACCTTGCGACTAAAATTGAACTACTCTGAAATTCAAAGCTCCCACGACCTACCAATCCCTCGTACTTCCCTACAAGCGGGTAGGTTAGGTCGTATCTTCTTGTGTAAAGTCGTATCTCGGGCGCGTGCACACTGGGGATTCGCGAATTCCAAGACTGGTCAGAACCCACTTGCACCCCCAAGCAGAAATCTTATTCACGCTGACAAAAATGTGCTCCCCTCCCAGGCGTGCGGTGACAAGTGCGTATTTTGCATATGTGTCGAGAACACGCGCGTGCGGCGCGTGCACATAGGGGGAAAGGCTTCAACGTACGTCTCTGTGATGCGACTTTACGCGGGATGATGTGACTTCGCTCGCAGCCGCGTGTCACTGGGGAGATGTGACTTCACACGCAAAGATGTGACTTAACCTACCCGCTTGTAGTACTTCCATTGCTACCTATGATTATTATGATTATCATTGTTATTTCAATTTCTATGATTTTAATTCTTATTCTTATTCTTCTTATTAACATTGTTGTTATTACTGTTATTGTTGTCATCATTACTATCATGATTATTGTTTCTATCATTATTATTGTGGGATTAAGCAATGGTGCTGCAGGATTGACTCGAGCGGCACGGCTGGAACGTCGAGAAAGCCGCGTTCAAGTCGGGCGCCCAGAGATGGCCGGGTGGCCTCGGTGGCGGCCCTTGGGTTCAGGGTTTAGGGTTTTGGCTTTAGGGTTTAGGGTTTAGGGTTTAGGGTTGCCCTTGACAAAGCCCTTCACTGCCACATGATTCCCCACCAAAGCCTCCTAAACCCTAAACAGTTAGATCGAATAGGTTAGGAGGCTTCGTGCTAAACCCCACGGCCTTATGCCAGCAGCACTTTGCTTTTCTGTAGCTTCCGTGGCTCAGCCTGGAGGCGAATCTGAATTTCGAGCTTTCTGATATAAGTCCGCAAAGCCATACCCTCGACTGCGGTTCAAGATTTAGGTTTTGGAGTTTCGGGGATTACAGTTTAGGGATTAGGGCTACAGGAAATCACCTGGCATAAAGCAGTCGAGCGAGTCCTGTGGTGCGGTAAGCGTGTGCTAGTACGGGGAAGCCTTCCTACTAAAGAACCATTTCAAGGCACAGCCCCGGCCCTTGTCACGCTACTTGCTACTGTAGTTCCGCTGCCTGCAGTAGCTCACACCCTCAAACCCTGCGCATTGAAAGCCTAGAAGGCAATTTCTAGGATCAGAAATAGGGGTGCGAGCACGTGCGCAATCATCTTCAGGGATCGGGTTCAAACAGACTGCTGTTGTCTGAGCTGTGACGAAAACGAAATGACAGCCCTTGTTTTTGTTTGTTACAAGGCCTTGGTTCTCGGGCACTGATGACTAGCTCCTTACTCTGGCCCACACTCCTAACAGTCATGAAAACAGCCCAAGCAACTCATCCAGCTGTGGACATGTTGCACCTTTTCCGCAGCTGTGGATCCTCTGCGGCTTGAGAGGAGCAAAGGTAAACATGTACCATACTCCACCTCACCCCTCCAAGTCTTCAGTAGCTCCAAACATTGCGCAGTGCACGGCAATGTGCCCTTAACCATAGCTATTCATGTTCAGTTTCAGGCCGTACACTGGCATTTGCAAACTGGCCAACAAGGGCGATGGCCAAAGCACCAACTCACTCAACCACGAAATTCTTACGGTTTGTGTTGGGAGCATCGGGTTTAGCTCACTCACTCCTTCTGTGTTTGCCATGGCCGAAACGGAAGCGGGTGCCCTCGTGGTAGCCAACGGCGAGCAGCTCAAGCAGCATGCTACACATGAGGCCTGGCATAGAGATTTGTGGCAGTAGAACGATCATGTATACGTCAGCAGCTCTTGCATGATGGAGCGACCTACCAGATGAGACCATCCTGCACCTTCATGTTTCCACAGTTCCTCATAGGTATATAGTAGCAAGGAGACTTTGAGGTTCGCTTTGGAATGAATACTACGGAAAGTGGCGCTTCCCAAGTGCAGATTCTGGCCATCAACCGTTTGTCGCGAGCCAGGTTTCGCAATACCCGCCGACGAGCCTGGACACGGAGCCCGACTGGCTTCTTGGCTGCAAAATGCCGGTTGGGTTCTTTGGCTGGCCCTAAGCCTTATTATGCCAGATAGAAGATGCTGATGGACCTGGAAAATCTGTGGATTGCATGTGAGTTCATCTGACCTGCTGTTCGCAATGATGCCGGACCTTTCGTATCAGTGGGACGCTGGCTATCACTGGCTCATGTCACTGATGTCTGTAACTAGGACTTCATTTCACCAGCCCGCAACCACCCACCTACCGAGATTTCAGAATTATTCAGACCGCTACTGCCCTGCTCTGGCACACAAAGCTTTCAGGTTCATTGGCACACTGGGACGTGAGAATACGTGCAGTTTGCGGTAAACCCGTTGGCTCCTGTGTAGTAGATTCGGGACTTCCTTATGTGGCGCCCAAACGTGCCAAAGGTTTGACTTGGGCCTTGCTGTGGGAAGCCAAGCCTTCTGCCTGAGGTGCACGACCGCCCGGGAGCTCCTCTTGAACGATCAGGCGCGCCAGCATCTGGTGCGCGCTGGAACATGGTACCCTGAAGAACACCAAGCACCCTATGCTGACCTTCGTATGTCTTGAAAATGAAACATAAGAAGGAGGGGTTTGGGCCAGTCGGCTGTAATATGAGGATTCCAGTGTTCAGTGAGCTATGTGAGGTCTTTTTGTGTTCACCAAATGCCAAACTGTCGTCGCTTCTCGACGTCTGAACGTCTGTGTTTCGCCGGCGAAATGGTCGTTTAAGGCTCCAGAGAATCCTGTCAAAACCTCAGCAGTCACCGGCTCCACATAGTTTGTTGCTATTACTATGTATTATTATTATTATTACTATTATTATTACTTATGGTTATTATTATTCCGTCACTTGTCAGGTGCAGAAGGCGCTGAAGGTCGCAGATCGAGGCTTGCGGACGGCGATCAAAGCAAAGGACCCGCAGTCTGCGAGCCCTGAGAGTACCAAGCTGGGCCCCATAGGACCGATACGCTCAAAAAGCCATTAGGTTCGCAGAGCCCAAGTGCTGAGGGGTGATGTGCTGTCGAAAGCTCTTCCGAGAAGGTTCAGGCGGCGGACCTCTTAGGATGTGCGGCTGAAGTTTCTCAAATTTTCAATCTGCAAAACTTGGGCCACTGGCAGGACAAGGGCCAAGAGGCACGTGCTCGACAAATGCAGGCCGGGAACACTGGGCTTCTCTGCCAAAATGTCCGCACTTGTTCGCCCGACCAGGACCCTCTTGTCCCTTTGAAGGCCCTTGAAAGTCAAAGTCCAAGCTCCGAAGGAGGCTTTGGGTTGGGATTCTACAGGTTTAGGGTTTCGGGTTTAGGGTTTAGGGTTTAGGGATCCTCAGCCGCAGATCTCCGTCGCTAGGCCCTGATACTCAATGAGATGTCGCAGCAAGACCCCATGGACATCGTCGAGGCCGGCAATGGTTTAACTCGATTTGGAGTTGGCCAGGTTGCGCAGAGTCTTTCGACCACTGCTCCACAGCACGGGAGGGCAGTTCCTTGGTCTTTAATTTCCAATCAAACTGCAGGAAAAAGCAGTCAAGAAGTGCATCCCTAAGCGCTGCACCAATCCATGATAATCCATGCTTCATGCTTAAAGTTGACTGCCAGGTGACAAAGAACGCCACGAAAGCTCTGAAGGCCTTGTCAGCCGACATCATGAGAAGCTAGCCCCTGGGGGCTAGCGGAGTTGCCTGCCCAGCGTCAGTTTCCATGTGTGTGTGTGTGTGGGTGGGAAACCCTAAACCCTGAACCCGAAACCCTAAACCCTAAATGCAGGCCGCTGGTGATCCTCGCGGTGAGCTGTGGACCTTGCGCCTCCAGGCGCTGCTCCTCGCTGAGGCGGCTACGGGGTGCCAGTGTGTTGGTGTGATAGTGACTGATAGTGTTATCTTAATGTGGACATTGCGGGTCTACATTTAACTTAAGGCTTGAGGCACTGCGGTTGAAGGGCTGAGGGGGTTCGGTTGTGCACGAACTTGTGAGGCACGAACTTGTGAGGTCCAGGCCTCGGGGGCAGTTCAACATAGTTCAACATCACATTCGTTGTCAGATGGACATCGGCTTACATTTAGAGTTAGTCTCAGGAGTCTCAGGTATATAGATGCAACCGTGAGTCCGAGTTTATTGGCCGTGCAGGCCTTTCAGCACAGGTCGGAGTTTGTCCCGAGGTTTTCACTGTTTGTGCCCAACCCTCAATGGACCCATGCCCCTAATTTCAGTCCTGCGCTGCATACAGAACTCAGGGGAGGACCTGAGGGATTGAAAGCTGACAGAACACGTGTCGTTGTCCTGTTGTCCATGTGAAATTACGAGCCTGAACTGAAGCCTGTGCAACAGAAACACTCAAGTCCGTCAACCTGCCCCTGGGACCTCTTTGGAACGCCAAAGACGTAAAAAAAATCACGGTAAGTTTCACGTTGAAGGTTCTGCAGATCGATGAAGCTCTGGCGGTGGTCAAGAGGCACAGATAGTGTCCACTAATATACCCCAAAATACCATAATCCTTATTATTATAGGAACCACCAAAAAGGGTACCCGTTGTTGCGTCTAAGCGGTCTGGTGGTCGTTGGTGGGTTTGTTCCCGCGTGCTGAGCGTTCGGGTTTGTAGGAGTGCATGGCCATTGTCCCAAACACCTCCATGAAGTCGTGGCCCTAAACCCTAAACCCTAAACCCTACTGCACAGCTTCACAGACTGGAGGTCGCAAGCACTTGTCTGCAAGCACCTGAAAGCCCTCTTCTTCAAACCCTGCACTTACAAACGTCGTCGGCCCCAAACCCCTTCACTGCAAGACGCTCGAGGATGCAGGTTCTTGCCAACGAGAGCTCTGACTTGGGGCAAGAGGCACCTCGGAGCAACCCTGAGCCCTCAACCCACCATGAACTAAAGATCATGAACCACAAGGGGGGGGGAGGGGGAGGGGGGGGGGGGGGGGGAGGGGGGGAACCCTAAACCTAAGCCCGCCATGGGGTGTGTGTGTGTGTGTGAATACTTCTATGGAGATATAGATATAGATTATAGATTTAGATATAGATATAGATATAGATATGCATACATACCTGCATATGCATGCATGTAATATGTACATGTACATGCAAATGTATATGTACAAGCATATGTGCATATGTATGTCTGTCTGTATGTATGTATGATTATGTACGTATGGTCATATGCGTTGTGTGTGCATGTGTGACCATGTGCGAGTGTGAAGCCTCCTAGCAAGGCTTTCGGCATTGTAGGCTTGTAGAATCCCATGGTTCCTCATTGGTTTCTCATCTATACGCTCAATGATTTGTCGCTCTCAGGCCGTGGCGGAATTGACCCATTCTGAGGCATGCTCGTTTCCGCACTTACGCGCGCAATGCTGGTAAGACATCTTGATCTTCGCGGTTGTTCAACTTGACTTGACCATTGCACAATGCAGTCATTCCAGTATTGTTGCTCCAACTCTGCGGGCTCACGTGCTGGAACATTGCTTTGCGGAAGGTTTATTCGTGTAAGTTGCCTAGCATTGCTAAATTTGGCTAGGCGACTTCTTGATTCGCGCTTTGGCCTCCTGCGCTCGACGCCCCATTGCCCTTTTACCTGAACTGCATCGCACCCACCATTCTGAGCCATGCTTGGCCATTGGCATGTTCCCCTTATGGTAGCAGTCCTTAATCGGGATTATCGTGCTATTATCGGCGGATTCCTACTAAGGACTGTTAGCCTAAGGGGGAACATCCCAAGTTGGCCATGTAGAGCTCGTTGCGAACACAGCTCCAAGCAATCATCGCCTTTCTCACGCGCGCAGGTCTGCATTGCTGCAGGGCTGCCCCGGTATGCAGAAGGCCTGCGCCTCCTGTTAACGCCGCATGTGCGCTTGTGTTGTGCTGCAGTGGTATGAGCCCGATCAGCATGTTATGCTTTAGGCCGCCTTCTTCCCACGATCTCAGCTTCCCAAGCCTGCAGCTGCTATAAGCGCGCAAGTTCAAAGACCCTTTTAAGTGAATTAGATTTTCATGGGGCTCTGGGAAAGAGCGGTTGGCCTTTACTTTGCTCCCTTTTCGACGAAGGTCACCTTCACAAGGAAGTGGATGCACGCAACTTAATGTTTACGGGCTTTTCTTTTTCTTGTTCAATGTATAGTTCACACAGGTCAAACACCACAACAGTGCCTGGAGACGCTAAATTCGCACTGCTACCTGTCTGATGCAGGCAAGGATGCTGCAAATGCGGCGTGGAACCTGGGCGGCAGCTTTGGAGCTTTTGGGGCCTCAGTTGCTCAAAGTCTTCGACCTTACTGGACCTGTAATCCAGAAGGGCTCCGAACGAGCTGAACAACTCATGTTGACCGGCAGGTCCGCACGGAGAAGCGATAACTTTGAGGCCTTTGGAGTAGTGCAAGCCGAAGACCCTGAGATGAAACTCCAGCACCGTCTGGACCCCTTGCCGCAGAGAAGCCCTTAGCCCCTGTACGACCCTAAACCCCAAACCCTAAACCCCCAACTCCCTGAAACCAAGGCGCCTCTATGGCCGGGCCAATGACCGCTGCGGCCAGGGTGCATGTCAGCTGGCCGCTTGACAGGCAACCCAAGGCCCAATACCCCTTAATTAAGGAATATTCCCTTAAATCATATAGTAAGGATCCCTTTCTCATTTAGGCTATATTCCTTAATCAAAGGGTATTGGGCTCTCTGGGAAGCTAAGCACCCTCAATGTCGCAAGGCGGGGCAACACCAAGACCTCAAAGCAGAGACCCCGAGGGCCCAGCTCGAGCCCTGAGCCGAAGACACAGAATTGGCGCGGTTCCCACCATCATGGAGGGTATATGGTTTAGGGTTTGGGGTTTAGGGTTTAGGGTGGGGAACTCAAGTCTACACTTGGGCATTTCTTGCCTGGCTTTCGAGGCGCTGTCTGACTTGGCCCGCATGGATGGCGATGCTGACGAGTCTTTCCAGGCACGGGCCGTCAGGGGTTCAGAACGCTGAGATGGCTACATAAAGCTACGGAACCGCCTTTTCAGGATGATGCTTTTTTAGGGCTTCTCATGGCAGAATGAGGCGCAAGGTGGCGTTGGATCATCCTTTGGGCGCATTCATCTGCTTAACTGTTGGGTTGTGGTTGCTGGTGTTTGTTTGCTGAGGAACTCTTGCACCCAGGATCTGATGCCATGGTTGAAGTGCACGCAAAAGTCAGTGATGTTAGCAAATTCTCAATGTCCCTGGCCGTATGGCGGTTGGCGCACACCCCCTTGTGCACTGTGACGCCCATTTTTGCGGTCAGTTTGCGGCGGATGCGCCCAGCGTTACATGCTGCTCGAATTATGATCGTTTGACGCACGCCATCGGTATTGCTGATGAGAGTTTCGGAGATCTTTGAGGCCTGGATGGTCTTGGTAACGGTTTCGAACGTATTCTCGGACAGAAAGTCTGCGTCCTCTCGGCACTCTTTGGAGCTGTTACCGGTTACCAATTATTTGCAGTTAGAGTTATCTTGTCCATCTGCCGTTTGGGTTGGTAGCGCCATCGTCCTGGCAGTTTTAACTCTTTGCCCGCTGCGCTTCGTTGCACGCTCTCTGTCGAGCCGCCATCACTTCATAAGGTTGGGTCCATGGAGAAGCACAGGGATTAGGAGGGAAAGAAGGAGGGGCGAGGATGTCAGGAGATTCAGCGCAATGTACGCCCTCAACCCGGATAGGCTTTCGAAGATGCTGGTGTTTACGTTTGCTTTTCGCCGCTAGCTGCAGCTGTTGTCTTTAGCTGAAGAGTGCCCCCATGCCTTAAATCGGCTCAAACGGTTGACACATTGGGTTCTGACAGTCAAGTTCGTCTTCTTTATTCGCTTATTGTCCGGAAATCGAGTTTGTCACCCTCGAGGCCAGGTTGAGGTGTTTAACGTCATGGCTGTGCATTGCTGCAGCCAGAACCCACTGTAGGACTTTAAGTCCGTCCACCCGGGACAGTCTCCCCAGCGCCCAAGTTTTTTGCACTTGGCAGCCTTGGCTACTGGCTGAGCTCGGCCACAGCTTTCGAAGTAAGTTGGTGCTCTCCATTCTTCAAGCGCCGAGGTGCCATGCAGCATGTCCGCAGACAATGAAAGAAACTTCAACCCTGCCATGCTCTCAAGTTGAGAGACAGCCCCCGTAAATTGTTGATGTGTTGTGTGCTCACGCACACGGGCGGGTGCACGCGCCCGCGCACGCGGCTCATGATAAACATGTTGTTTTCATTCAAGCAGAAGTTGTCATGGTCGTATGCTCAGCCATAAGAAGCCTGCTAGCAACTCCGAATTCTACACGCCCTAAACTTACTCAAGAACATAACCCGGATCCTCGGGGTGAGGCGGCGGTGAGGGCGCAGAACCTGTTCCACGGTGCAGAGGACAACATCAAGAAGGGTGTACAGGGGGTTGCGAGACCCATGTTTGGGAGCTGTTTAGCTCACGGGTTCAGTTGCCTTGTATTAGCTATTCTAAGGTAAAGCTCGACCTTAGCACTTAGAACTGTGACATTGGCATTTTTGAAGGTTTTCCACTTTGCACGTTTTTGGAGGAAACGGGATGATGCAATGCTGGAAGGCTACACCGCCTTGGAAAGAAAGCCACACGCGTACCACTCACGCGTGGTTAGCATGGTTAGGAAGGACTCCGGCCTCAACAGCACCTGCCCCCCTCACCCCCCACCACCCCTGCAGAATCGCCAAGCGGCGAGCAGCTCCCTCCCAATCCCTGACACAATTGCATGTCGTGGTCGAGAGGACAGGGAGCGTCTTCCGGTGTCGAGGGAGATCAGCGGTGTCCCGGCCCGCTCAGTAGGGAGTGGCGATTGATATTCAGGGGGGTGTGAGAGGGCGATTCATGGCGATTCCGTGATGAGGGTGTTGAGCACTAAGCCCAAGCTGCGCATCCAGACAACGCTTCATCCTTGCGAGCGCGTTAATGCCCTATTGCTACTGTACCCGACACTATGCAGCCCTTTTGTACTTCAAGCGTCGACTCATCGAAGGTTGGCAGGTCTCATCACAAAGTGTCTTTCGATGGCCTAGAACCCGCCACATCAGAATTGTGACCTGTAGACTGTAGACAATTGCCAAAGCATTGAATCCGAAACCCTAGTGCCTGACAACAGCAGCAAGGTCCTGCAGGTGCTCTTTGTCGAAAGGCGCCTGGATTCTGTGCCCGTTTGCTTTCGTTTTTGCCAGCCTGGGTCGGAGGTGTGTAGGTGGAGGCGTGTGTTGCAGATATTGTGGGCTTCCAAACGTCGGATGCCTCCGTGGGCTAGAACCCGTTCGCAAGCCTCCGTGTTACCGTCACCCGCAGTGACGACTTCCTCCCTTGGCTGTCACCATCAAAACCTGTCTGGTAGTTCTCGGCCTTCAGGGCAAACATGGCAACTCGGGTCTGTCTGCAATGTCGCAATGAAACCCTCTCGCACAGCACAGACTCACGGCCACCATGAAGTGGGTGTCGAGTCCAGGCACAGGCGATGTTGGATCTGGCAGAGGACCTGACATCCCATTGCAGGGTTTCAGTCGGAAAGAGTCCTTGCACATCTTCTAAGCCCTGTCGAAGAGATGCTCGCAATAATGGATGCAGCCTCATCGCCTACTTTAGGATGTGTTTCAAACACAGAAAGGAAAGATTTTTCGCTTTGCAAGATAGTTCATAAGGAACCCTCATTTCTGTCCAGAAGTCAAGAAGGCAACAAAGAGAGGGTTCCCGAGGGATGTTGCTCAGCAGGAGGGTCCCGGAGGCCCCACTTTGAGGGTCCTAGGGTTTAGGTTTAGGGTTTAGGGTTTAGGGTTTAGGGTTGAGGGTTGAGGGTTTAGGGTTTAGGGTTTGGGGGGCGGGGGGTTTAGGGCTTGGTCTGGTGTGGGGAAGCCATGGTCTGCTTGCTTCAGATGCCTGTCGGCCGGATGCCCAGGCGAATTTACTGAGAGAGCCAGTAACATGTTGCTGATCAGGCTCCTGGAATCATGTTTAAGACAAGCTTAGCTTTGGACCCTGGGCAAACACCCCCCCCCCCCCCCGCTAAGCAAAACTTGGAGAACTTTGTCAGTTTTGCCACCTTCAGCCTACCATACCCGAGACAGTCGTTCCTGTAGCTGCTAAGCAAAACTTGGACTCTTGCGAGCTAGGCTTCTTTCGGACCTGCAGTGTTCAACGCCGGACGTTCTTGCTGGTAACACATCGGCCCTCCCACAGTCGCCCGGAGTCCAGATCGAAGGCTTAGGGCTTTCATGAGGCTTGTGCCGTGTATTCTGTGTATGAGGACATCGAGGCGCTCCGTGCAGCGGAGAAGGCAAATATCTTCACGAGTTTCTTGCGTTTGGGATACTTTTGGAGTAGAGCCGCAGATCTGTGGCTCGGAACCTAACGATCAACACAGCGTTGTGTGTAGGTGACGAGACTTGAAACTAAAGGTGGCCATGCCCTTAACGGATGACGTTGAGATTTTGATTTTGAGGCCGAGTCTCAGTTCTGCACCAGGTTAAGTCAGCCCCAAGACTAGATAGGATGTACTGAAACCGTGCATCTCAAAATCAAGTTGCGGCGTAGGGCGTTCGGATGTGTTCATAGGCGGAAGCCCCAGGAAAATCCCGCTGCGCTGCAGCAGGAGGCTTTTACGCTTTCTTTGCACAAGCCCTTGACCTCCTCAAGCCCCAAACAGCAGCTTTATAAACTTTGAGCCTCGGATCCAACCTGGACTCGAAAATTCCTTCGCCCATGCCGGACCCACCGTTCTTCTTCTCGTACGTCCCCTCCTCAACAACTCGCCTATCCCAAAACATGTCCACCCTAAGCAGCCTAAACCCTAAACCCTGAACCCTAAACCCTAAACCCTAAACCCTAAACCCTCCCTAAGCACCCTAAACCCCCCATGACCCCTGACGCCGCCGCAGGCCGTGGACCTTTGCCACCTCTCCGCCCGAAAAGGATGGGAAGCACAGGCTCCGGGTACCAGTGTGCGAAGTTTGGGCTTTGGGGGTTTAGGGTTTAGGGTTTAGGGTTTAGGGTTAGGGTTTAGGGTTTAGGGTTTAGGGTTTAGGGTTTAGGGTTTAGGGTTTAGGGTTTAGGGTTTAGGGTTTAGGGTTTAGGGTTTTTGTCCCCAGAGGCTCTGGTGACACTGGCGAAGGCAAAGCTGCACCTCGGCAGACTCGGGGTGGGGGGGGGGGGGAGTTGTTGGTGCGGCGCAGGCCCGAATTTTGACCCCCAAATAGTAGGATCCCTTATAATAATGACCCCAATAATAAGGTGACCGAGAATTCATCCCACAGCCCAGTAGTCATCAGGCTTCAGCTGATGTCAGCTCTGTACTGCTGGGAAACTACTCGGACACGGGCCATAGATTGCCGTGGTGTTTGGGTGTACTAAAACGTGCGTTTTGCCTGGGTTTTGGCAGGATTCCTGAAACAGGAGGTTTAAAAAGCAGTAAATAAAGTACTTCGATTTATACTCAATTTGGGGCTTGGGGGTTAATTGACATCGTACTTCAGCGTCGACTTTTTTGTCCTGGCATTCCCCTGCTGGAAGGATCAGAGTACTTTGCACAAATGCTGAAAGAACTGCATAGGAGTGCAAGACCCGAGATGGCTTCTATACATCCACTTTCTTGTTCCACATCCTTGTGCAGCCTGTTGTACAAAGAGAAGAAAACCCTGTAAATACCAACGCTTTGGGCATAAAACGCTCTAAACACCAGTGTTTTGGGCATGGTCGCGAAGGCATGGACGCTTGTGACAGAAAACGCTGTAAATACCAGTGTTTTGGCATGGAGGTAATATGAATGACGTTCTTATCCCCCCCCCCCCCATAGGCCCTGAAATGCCGGAAACCTCGCGGGCGGACAGGCCATTGCCGAAAACCTCGCGGCAATCTACGGCCCGTGTTCCAACTCTCCTTAACACCAACGCCTTGAATCACCCTAACCCCTAAACCCTAAACCCTAAACCTAATCCCTAAAGGGCCTTGAAGTTAAGTTTCCTTGGGCGACTTGAGGCCTTCGGAGTTGAACGGGCTTCGCTTCGACTCAGGGCTTCGGCTTTTTTGCAGCACATCACGAGCACAATAAAGAAGCAATCAAAGTCAGGGTGGTCTGCGAAGAGGGCGAGATCAACCACACCATCGTCAAGGCAAGCCGAATTGAGCTGAAGCCTTCAGGGTACGACGGATAATTACTCCTGCGAGGGGTGGGGTGCGCAAGGTATGTCTTGTTTCTGACGTTGACTCGAAATCTGTGTGCTTTCGCACACAGTGGGCTGCACCATCTCAACTTTGCACTGGAAGGCTGCAGCCTACACTGTCTACACTTCTCATGTCGCGGTGTAAGATTGGTGTCGTCTAGTTCAGGCTTCTGGACTGAAGTGCCCAGGGCAAGTTGTCGGTTCCTCGCGAAGCTGTATGCGAAAGAGTCATGTTGCCCTGACGATGGAGCTTCCGCGTCCCTGAAGTTGAGGGCCATATATGGGTGACTAACCGTGCTGGGGCAACACTTTGTAAATTTTTTCTGGGGGATCAAAAGCACCTCAGCCTCATTCCATGCCATGTTTGAGCTGAAAACCGGTAGGTTTTCCAAATTGAATCCTCTGCATGTCGAGTTTCTTCCGTGCAGTCGAGCACATCATTCGGTATCTGGTCTGGCATCGAGAGCTCCTGGCCAGCATCTCTGCTGGCTTTCTCCCTAAACCCCTAACCCTAAACCCTAACCCCCAAACCCTAGGTCTTGCCCTGCCGCGAACGCCAGGTGACCCAGCTTGCAGCCGAGCGCGTTGCTCAAATGCGACCACACCATCGAGTCTTGATGGCGGAGGCCATGAGATAGGGTTTTAGGGTTTAGGGTTTAGGGTTTAGGGTTCCTTGAGATGCTATGCCCATCTGCACCCGAGCAGCCACGGCACTCTTTGACAAGAAGAACCCAAGGCGATTCTATTGTCAACTATCTGGGTAGCCTGAATGACGAGGTCCGAGCATGTCCGAACACCTGAGTAGGAGATTTCGGATTCAGAGGCAGTCAGCCTTTAGTTTTCGGGTTTAGGGTTTAGGGTTTAGGGAGTATCTTGGGAGGGCCGCAAGAGCCCCAACATGCAGAACACCCTGAAGCAAGCTGGTCGACACTTCGCCTGGAAGACCCGGAGACCCGGAAGCCTCTCAAGCCGAGCCTCTTCTGGGTACTGGCAGTAGAATGTTGAGACTTCAAGTAACTTGTAAGACTATCCTGACAGCCAGCCCAGAAAGGCACTTCTGACGATGTCCTTGGCGTGCCGTGGACGCATTGCTGTTCAACTGTTGGGGTCAAAGGGCCTCCACATTTTTTTCGCCACAGAAGAATTCTTTCAAGGTTACTACGCAGTATTCGCCCCGTTAAAGTTTTAGACGTCTCGGTTGAGTTCGGAACCATCGTTTCTCAAGGCCCTGCGAATCACTTCTTCAGCCTTTTTGTACTTAGTCGGGCTTTCGGTGTGAGAAGAGGGCAGGGTTTCGATATTATTCGCCTGAGAAGCAGTCGGTCCTAAAGACCCAGGCGGCAGCCCAGACCATCTGAGACCATCTGAGACCATCTGTTCTTCCAAAGAGGATGGTTGGGGTTAGGCTGGTTTCTTCTTAAGAAGGATTGGAGATGGCCCCGGATCAAAGGCTTGAGGCATTTCGCAAATCGCTATGGCATCGCACACGTGGAACTCCTGACAGTCGGAATTGTCATCAACATGGTTCTTCCAAGTCATGAAACACAACCAATACGCAGACAAAACACAACAAAACACAGAATCTCCGAACTAAAACCGAAGTGGTTTTGTCGAGGCTCATTCGCTCGGACGGCCTTCGCAGCGCTCTGCAAGCTGCAAAGGAAGTTGGGGGGAGGGGGGGGGGAGGGTAAGGTGGCTCATATTTTGTGGGGTGATACAATATGTAACTATGCGTTGCTGTCCAGTCAGAGACTTGTCATGGTACGTCCGTGTTTCGAATTTAGGGGTCTTCTCTGACCATCAGTCGCCTGAAGGCCTGAAGCCTGAACTCCAGCAGGGCGACTTAGGGCATCATCCAGCCCCAAACTCACCATCAGGCTTTTTGCGCATGTCGCGCGAACAGGAGAAGTCGTTGCCAATGGCTCAAGCATGGTTACTTGTTTGTCGTTTCGTCTCATGGAAGCTGGTAATCTGTGCTGCGGTAGCTGCATACCAAAAACAGGTGCGGTTGGGAGTATCAGGGCCTCGAAACACATGATGTACGATGTTTTCGAATGTCACTTGCAAGAGAGCCTGGGGCCCTAGAAAGTAGTGTGGCTGCAAAGTTTGCTCCGGACTTTTTTTCAGTATAGGTCCCCAGAGCTGCCCACAATGGTCGCATCCCTTGTGACAGCGCGTCTTGTTCCAGAAAGTCAAACATCCTTTTGTGGTATGTTTTGCAAAGAGGCAAGAACGCTGTAAATGATACCCGTGTTGTTGGGCATGGCCCCCCCCCCCCCCCCCCCCCCCCCCCCACACCCCCCCTACCCTCAGGGCGTCAAAAACAAACAGTCAAACTACGTAACTACGTACACGCCTCCCGTTACTAGCACCACCAGTTCAGGGGCACATTGTAGTCAACCGCAACAAAAACATGAGCCAAAACCGGTTCATGTTCAGAGCGAAAGGGAGCACCTGCATCATGGAAGCCTCGAATATTCTGACCTGGCCACTATTTTGCAGCATCCAGCGTAAAGCGTTCACACGTTTCAAGTTGTTAAACCTCCCAAAAGCACACTTAGAGGTGAACCAAGTTGTCCTGTAGTTTCATGTCATGTAATGCATATGTGAGAACTTGCACCAGGCCTCATCCTTGCTGTCGTAAGCCTGGTCGCGGTTTCGTTGTGGTTTGGGCTCATGTGGGGCTTCGACTGCGTGCACGAGCTGAGCTTGTGCAGGATGCGCAGATCTTCTTCAACAAAGCCGGTCAGGCCTGCGCGAGTCTTGTTGGTTCTGGGATCTGGGCTTTTCGAGTATAAGCGCTGTGGAGCCGATGATCAAGCCCAAAGCATGAAGCCATGAGAAAGATGGACAAGGGGTTTCCTGGAGGAGAGCACTGCCTCTCGAATCCCTGCTCAACATCTGAAGTCCTCGAGTCTCCTGCCCGAAGCCATCTTTCCTGATGTCGATTCGGAAAATGTTGCCGTTCAGAGTGCAGGGTGTCGTCCTGCACTCATTCGAGGGTGCCGGGCAGCTGCTGTGGTTGCCCAAGCCCGCTTTTCTTCGTCTTCGAGACCCTTGGGTTAGGAGTCCCATGTCTCCCGTCGCTCGTCGTCTCATACAGGAGGGGCGAAGGGCCGGGGGAGGGAGAGAGAGAGAGAGAGACATGCGTGTCTACCTTCGGGCTCGTGGCTCTTGGGGTGCTCTTGCAGGCTTTGGGAAGGGATTTTCTGTTTCTGTTTCAGAGGGTCTAGTCAGCCGCGGACGTAGACAGTCGGTCGGTTGGTCCGTCGGTCGGCCCAACTTTTTCAGACGCACAGCTGCGGCTGCAAAACAAGGTCAAGCCGGGAAGACGAAAAGGGCAAGGGGCAAAACAAACGCAACAGCACGGTGAGAAAAGGAGGGATTAGATTGGGATCCGCTCTGTCCGGGCTCTTTGGATCGTTTCAGCCTCCAAGTCATGCGCTCACTCGTTGACCAGCGCCATCCACATGTCCCACCCCATCTCGACCACCTCTCCGTTGGCCGGCTCGCCCGTCAACCAACCGCCCATTGCAATTGCAGGTGGATGAGGAGGTCCAGCCTTCTCTTTCATGTCCCTCGTCTATCTAACTCTCTCTAACTCTAACTCTCTCTAACTCTCTCTAACTCTCTCTAACATATAAGTAAACACCCTTACATCAAAGCTGCAACGAGTCTCTCTGCGAGTCTGACTACGAGTAAAGCTTCCAGGCCGCGCAAGCCGCGCGGGCGCAGCTTGCGCTTGCGGAGGCCGAGGTCCATTCCCCGATCTCTGCGGCTACCGCTCTGCGTCATGTAGGGTTTAGGGTTTATAGGGTTCAGGGTTTAGGGTTGAGGGTTTAGGGTTTAGGGTTTAGGGTGTAGGATGTGTGTGTGTGTATTTGTGTGTATGGTTTCGAAGCATCTAGGGCTTTCATGGGCTTTCAAGCTATTGAGCTCAACTTGACTTTTGTGGGTTTATGGGGATGATCAGAGGCTTCGGACCTCGATTGGGATTTGCATCAAACGGTGCTTGAGAGGCCCCTTAGGGACCAGGCTTGAGGATTTGTGTTGACTGAGTGCACAGATGTTCGCAGCGTCCATGTTTCCGGGGGGTACGGCGTTATCAGGGTGCTGCTGGGGTTGTCGTATGCTTTACGCCTTTACGCCTTTCAGGATGCGAGACGTGCAACTGGTCACGGATCTTAATCTCTAGAATACATTCATGACTTCCAGCCACAACCCTGGACCTTGAGTTCTGCACACTTTGGTTCTTACCCAGACCTCATGGACCACAACAATCTCCCGTGAAGGTCGGGCTGGGTCGTGCTGCGGAAGGAAAGGAAGACGCCGAAGAGGTCGACACACCAAACGCTTACTTGTTTGCTTGCCTGTATAGTGCTCTCTTGCCTGCTTGTATGCCTCTTGGCTTGCTTGCTTGCTTGCTTTCGCGTATTGCTGGGTGTGAAGAGCAACCCTGGGGTTTCTTCAGGCTGCAAAGGTCCTCAAAGAAATTGAAGACTTCAATGGCGCTGACCTCAGCACCCAAAATGGGACTTGGGGATTCTGGCGATCGGTGTAGCGTGGTGTAGCTGTACCATTCGGAGGTAAGGGTTTTAGGACTACGTCTCCTACTAGCACGAGGCCAATAAAACTCCCATCGAAGAGGCTTGAAGATCCCTGAGCCTGCTAAAGCCCTCAACATTCCTCGGAATGCAACCTCGATGTGTTAGCGCAGAGGCAAACCTTAAGATGTGGGTTGTACGGTGCAGAACTTGATGAGCAAGTTTGAGCCTGGTCATGTTGGGCTGTAAGGCCGCTAAGGGTACGCATTGAAGGTACAAGATTCAGAGGGAAGTGCCGTGCCAAGGCCAAGATCGCGCCCTCGACATCCTCGATGCTGCTCACCAGGCCGCATGAACTCCTGGGTGAATTGCATCCGGGGCTCCCTGAAGCTCTGCAGTAAAAGACAGTTCTTGTGCGAAACTCGTGTCAAGAAAGCATGCTGGAGGTCCGGCCTGCAGCAAACCCGGCAGGCATCTTCAACCAAACGGTCTTAAGGCGCTCTGAAACAAAGTAGTGCTTAGGTGCCTGGAAAGACTGCGTTGAACTCAAGCACCACGGCTGCCACTAAAACCGAAGGCTTTCCACGAAGGTGAAACGCACCATCTCCGATACAGAGCTCTGACCCAAGCAGATGGGTCCTTCGTATGGGAGCTATCGGCTTGCGGGCATCTCAAGGCATAAAGCTGCTTCTGAATTCTCTGCATCTATCCCACTTTCCCCCCAAAAAACCCCTTCTTCCTAAACTCTAACCCTATAAACTTTAAACTCACAAGCTTAAGGGATACCACCCTAAACCCTAAACCCTAACCCCAAAGAACCCCCAAGGTTCCTTAGAAGGGTCCCTCCTTTCCCTTAACAAGCTCTGGCAGGCCCTGGGGCTTCCGACCAGGGCCGAGATCGCAGCCGAGGAGCAGAGGAAGCGGCAGGCGCTGGGTTTAGGGTTTGGGGTTTGGGGTTTAGGGCTTAGGGTTTAGGGTTTAGGGTTTATAGGGTTTATAGGGTTTATAGGGTTTATAGGGTTTATAGGGTTTATAGGGTTTAGGGTGGTTTGGGGTGAGACTTTTTGGGTTTGAGTTTGGGGGCTCGATGGGTTTGGGTTGGTGGGCTTAACGATGAGGAATGGCTTTGTTTTGTAACCAGGGCTTATTCCAAGAGAACTGCTGCGATAGAGGAGCGCGCTGGGTTTTCTACGACACGACGGCTCCAGGATTTTGATGCAGATAAAGTTGCTCAAGCTGCTCAGGCTCAGGTTCAGATGCGGGGATTGGACTGAAAGTGAAAGTAGACCGAAGTCTTAAACCTCCAAGTGGCCTCAGCACGAGGAATTGCAGGGTGTGACATTGATGAAGCCAAGGAATGGAAGAAGGGAACCAGCTCTGCTCCTCAGGAATTTCCCACTCTCAACTTCACCTGGCCTCCGGAGGTCGAAAGGGACCCCGGGACCCCATAGAGCAAGAAACTAAGACATCAGGATCGATTGCTCCTAGTGCCGAGCTTGCTGCAGGAAAAGCTCCGCCTCCAGCAGCAGTCACTTGGCAAGCCGAGTGCTCCAAAGACACATCTTTCGCAGTGTGCACCCCAAGAATGCGGCGGCGCGTTTCTGCGTAGACTCCAGATCCTAAGCCCTACGCTCAAGACCAACTTGGACCCCGGACTCACGCTGGTGCCTCGGTATGTGGTGAAATTCGCAGAACCACCACGTTGCTGCATTCTACCCCAAGCCCCAAACCCCTAGCCATAGGGTCTTACGTCTAGGGCTTGGAGCCACACTCTCAAGGTTACAAAGCTTCGATTCGCTTCAAGTCTTCCTTTTTGCATTTTCCTCGTGGCCAATCAGCCATCAGGCAATGGGCCCTACAGCGGCACGGCTGACCTGAGAATCTAGGTTTGGGGACGAGCGCTTGCGGTTAGGGAGCTGGTTCGGAGTGTGGTGTTGTTAGAACGGTCAGGACATAGTTCTTTAAGCAGAGAGTGCGATGGTGCGTCGCAAGCTTATAAGTTTTATGCCTTCCCGAAACCATCAAACACCAAGCCCTAAACCCTGAACCTTAAATCTTTGCGGAAAATATCGTAGCTGCTGGCTTCGGTCTCTGATACTTTCGATGACTTCATCCTAGGCTTGAGGGTGTGGGATTATGCTGCTCATTCAGTGGACGGTCTTAGTCTGCCGTAGTACTGAGATTGGACTCAGGCCAGAAGCTGACAGGCCAGGCAAGGAATGATTTTCTCTGACGTGTAATCTCTCTTGTTTCCTAAGGGTGTGCGAGGGACTACGTGCTGGTATGGGGGAGGCCGTTTGTTGGTTTTACTCGTTTTGTTTGCAGTTGTTTCTGGTGGCTCCAGTCGAAGCTTGGGCCCTTAAGGCCTCACCGTGCAGCAACCGAGGTACTATCAGCAGCAGCAGCTTCAGGGTGGAGGTGGTGCAGCCCCACCAATGCCACAGATGATGCCTAGCAGCGCCCTTACAGTTAAAGCCGCAGGTCCTTGTTGTCAATTCTGAGCGTCTGAGCACCAAAGGTGCTTGAGTTTTAGCTTTGGGGTGGTGATTGTTGGCGTTTGTGGATGTTTGTCACGAATCCCCCCTCTTCCCCCCCCCTCTTCCCCCCCCCCCCAGGCATGGAGATGCAAGCGCCGAAGGCTGGCTCCGTGGAGAAGGCGTCTCGCAATCGAGGGAAGTACAAGCAGAGCAAAATCCCCAAGATCACAGGTCCCAGTTGATGTCTGCGGATTTCTTTGTGGATTTCAGGGTTAGGAAAGAGAGCTCATGTTTGGCCTTCTAATAAAATGGAGAAGCATGGAGCCTCAGGGCTTTCAATCTTTGAATATTCCTTCGACGCAGGCGCCTTTGGAGCGGGAGAGCAACCCCTTGTTGCTCAAGGCCGGTTGATCAGTGAACCCTATTGCCAGCAGCAAGGTTTCGACTCAAGACAGGTTCCAGCTGAAATGGTGTGGAAGCCCTCACGTATAGTTGGGATTTGCCATGATCTGGGGCTTGACCATGTTAACCCTACTGTGTGCACATTCCTGGGCATTTGAGGTGAGTTATAAACGGAAGAGGTGCTCCCTCAACTGAGCCAAAACAGAAGCTGGATGTGACACCAGTGCCATCACAACAAGTTGGGGTTTCAGTACTCTTGGACACACCCGAGGCAGGCATGGACACAGGGACAATCAAGAGCAAGGTCAGCCAGGCGCGCTGCATCGCCAGAGTTCGATGTCAACCGGGGCTTCTCTAGAACAATGAACCCTGAAGTTCGCCTCAGTCTGCAACAATCCCGAACCACGAAGCGACCAAGGTTGCTAGTGCTCAGAGGCTCTTGGGATACATAATCATGGGCCCAAAGGGTGAGAAAAAAGAAGAGGGGATCGGGAGGGTGTTCCTGGAGAAGCACGTGGAAACCATGCCTAGGGTTCCCCAAGAACTCGCATTGCCCGCTCTGCGGGTAAAGACTTGTGCCCAATCGTCAGGCGAGCTGGGAGCATACATGGTCCTCTTGGCACACCCCTGAAGCCTGAAGCGCTTTAAGAGCAAGGCTCCTCGTCAGGAGGCCCGAAGGTCAGGCCGGAACTTCCTTGGCACTCCAAACCCTACAGCCCAGAGTTCCAGACACCTCCAGGACCCTGTACACAGGGCAACCCGAATTCCCCCCCCCCCCCCCGACTCTCCCCATTCCCCCCATACCCCCCGACATCCCTCTCAGATCGCGACGGCAATCATGGGCGGTGACGAGGAGTTTGAAGCCGACACGCCCCTCATGGAGGTTCACATTGGGAGCATTGGTGTTGAACAGGTTTTCATAAGGTATTTCAAGGTTCAATTTTCAAGCCTGAGCTTTTTTTGCGGGTTGAGGGTTGGGTGGTAAGGCTTGCGGACGAGGCCTCTAGGCGGTAGCAGGTGGATGCAAGTTATGCAGCGTGCTTCGCGCAGTTTGGACGGCTCTTAAGTCTTAGTGCTCTTATTGTGTGCCTTTTTGAAGCTTTGAGGGGTTTTTGTTCCCTTGGGAGGCCGGGCTCACCTCGAACACAGCCGTGCTTCTGCGGGATGAGCTAACCAAGGACTTGCTCGGGGCTCAGAGATAGAGAGGCTTGTGCAAAGCGTGTTGAGCCAGGAGCCCTGGATGGGTTTTGACTGTTCATGGGCTCAGAAATCCACTTCGGGAAGGGGGCTAGTTCGGAACACTTGCCGCCTTCTTGCCGCTTGTGCCCGCAGGCCTCTGGGTCTAGCTGTAGATGGGTTTGCCGAGATCCAAGACCCTGCGGGCTGAGATGTGGTGAAAGGAAGCTGAAACCCGTCAGCCCTGCGGCACTCTGGTTCGTTTATTCGGTCCGACGGCTTGATCTGACTTGGAACGAGATTCTGCGGTGCAGCGTGCAGTTGTTCTTCGACACGCCCAGGGCCCTGAAACTCTTCAATTTCAAGCTCCCCAAACCCGAGTTCTATAACGAGACGGTAGTTTTTGGGAAGTGCCTGGCAACGGATCAGACTTCTCAACATCGGGGTCTAAAGCTTTGGAGCTTCTCAGTGGTGCCATGCTCACTTCCTCGCAACTATCCATACGATGAAGTTTGCTGTTCTCGAATCTGCCATCGGCCAAGCGGTAGGCTTCCTTTGTAGGAGGCTTAGGGTTTAGGGTTTAGAGTAAACCCTTAACCCTAAACCCTAGGGTTGAGGGTTTAGCGGTGTGTGCTGCCCTTGCACGGGGAAGTGTTGAAAGCCTCAGGCCCGGCATCAAGCTGCCGCCGACCCTGATTTTCGATTACCCATCCGTGGCTGCAGCTCAGCTTCAGCACAGAAATCTTAATTAAGCCAGCGTCATGATCATGCAACTCATTACTGCACGCGCATGACCCATGAGCGTTGGGTAGCCTACTAAGCACCCCTCCCTAAACTCCATCTTGCTCAGGCATGACAGGGGGATGAAGTGTCGATTGGAAGCAAGAACGCACGCACGTTCGTTCTTTTTTTAGCGTGTGCCCGTGCGTGTGCGCGTGCGCATGCGTGTGTGCATCTCTGTCTCTGTCTGACCGTGACCTGTGTGTCTGTGTCCGTCTTTATGTATGGTGTCTCTGTGTGCGTGTGTGTCTCTCTCTTCTGTGTCTGTCTGTGTCTGTGACCATCGTCTGTGTGTGTGTGTCTCTGTTTCAGTCTGCCTGTGTCTGTGTCTGTGACCTGTGTCTGCTTCTTTGTGTATGTATGTATGTATGTATGTCTGTATGTGTGTATGTGTGTATTTGTGAATGTGTGTATGTGTGTTGTGTGTGTATATGTGTGTGTATGTGTGTGTGTGTGTGTGTGTCTGTCTGTCTGTCTGTCTGTCCGTCTGTGCGTGCGAGTGCGTGCGGGTGCGGGTGCGTGTGGGGGTGGGTGTGTGTGTGTGTGTGTGTACCTCTGTGTGTGTGTGCCTCTGTCTCTGACTGTGTTTGTGTGTGTGTGTGTGTGTCTGTCTGTGTGTCTGTCTCCGTGTCTGTCTGTGTCTGTGACGTGTGTGTGTGTCTCTGTGTTCGTGTGTCTGTGTGTGTTTGTGTCTCTGTGTGTGTGTGTGTGTGCCTCTTTGTCTCTCTGTCTGTGTGTGTGGGTTGAGCATCTTGAGCCTAGAAGCCTGGAAGCTAAGGCAATCACAGAGTTCGTCATGGACCAAAGCAAGATGATTGCCGGCTGAGCGACTTGCATGTTGGAGCAACCGATTTCCCGGCTTTGGGTTTGCAGTTTTTTGATTTGAGGTTTTCTTATCCCCCCCCACCCTTCTTCTTTGGGTCTTTGAAACAGTCGAAAGATTCCTTGCCTCTTCGATCAGGTATCTGTGTACAACATCCGATCAAGGATTGTAGGTGTTCGGCGGTGGGCAGGATTTGTGGTTCGGGGTTGAGGTGTAAGATTTTGCAGAAGCACATCTTCTTCGGGTCTGGTTGCTGGAGGTCCCAGAACTCCCATCATCTCGGCGCAAGGGTTCGTGGCAGCCCACCTACGAGAGCTTCGCATGCTGAAAGCATCCCGAAACCCCCGGCACTCTTCAATCCCAAACTTTGGGAGGTTCCCCCTTATACTAACAGTACTAACAGTCCTTGATAGGGATTATAATGATTAGGGGGTTATACACACTCCATATTAAGGACTGTTTGTAGAATGGGGAACATCCCATTCCAAACTCTTAAAACCTTCAGTCCATGGAGAAGCAAGGCACGTGGTTTGGCCTGCGAGAACCCCGTGACATCCCTGAAGGGACGTCCGAGCCTCTGGGTTTCTGATAACGAGCGAGAAACCTGCGACTCTTATATTGGTGTGGTACAGGTAGGTTTAGGGTCAGCACCATGTTATGAAGACAGAAGGGGCGAAACAGTTTGATACGCTTCCGCGTTCCGAGTCAGGGTGGCTGAAGGGTGTAAGGTTTAAGGCGTAGGGGTTTGAGGCTTAGGTTGTTTGAGGGATTGGGCGGTCTGAGCGGGGTCGAATCGAAACCCTCTTAGCTGACTTGCTCCGATGCATCCAAGATCTTCCTTGCGCAAGCACCAGTCGGAGCCCCGGTAGGAGCTTCGTGTACACATCCGAGCTCAAGAGCTCAAACACAGCAATAACTTGCCAACCGTGGGCTTTTGCAGCCCATAAGTTCGATTAGAACCTTAGTCTACTGGACCCTCCTTTCCTCTGCTCTCTCTTCTTTCCTCGTGAGAGATCAGACCATGCAAAATCAAGTGTCTTGGCTGGAAAGCATTCTGGAGCTTGGCGTTCTTTAGTGCACGGTTTCCGCGCAACGATAAAGAAAAGGATCTGCTGCCTTGCTGAACAGAGTGTGGGAGTGCCTACTTACGCAATCGCCCACTCTTCGGGCAGCAGGCTTCAGATTTGGGGGAAGGCAAAAAGCTGTTTGTAGGTTTTGGCTGTGAATGTGGATACGTGGCACAGAAACGCGAACAACTAAAACACACACAGATGCACGTTTACGTGGCGTGTATTAGTTGTTAGTTTCAAAGAGTTTTTTAGATGATGGGATTTGCACGAGAGTATTCATGAGCATGTTCATACGGATCTTAGTGAAAGACTTGTGTCATGCAAAGGTTTCGATCGGGAGGGCGAAGCATTCTCCGTAAAATGAACAAGGTGAGAAAGGGCGTGTCGTACAAGTGATTACAAGTGTCGCAGTATGCCCCAGCATTGCACCTTTGCAGGCACCAAACATATCCGGACTTGATGGGATTTCCTTAGTGCCTCGTAGTGCGCATGAGCAGTCCGTTCCAAGGTACAGGGCAAGGGGCAGGGCAACTGCAAACCCAAAAGCCCGAATGCATCCTAAACCCCACATGAAGCATCCCCCAAGCTCATTGGTGCGCCCGCGCCGTAGTATGTCTGCAATTGGAGGACCGGCCAACTCGCCTTGAACTTCGAAAAGTCACAAACCTCCTGATTCCTGAATCCTATTCTGCGCGGGTTGAAGTGTTTGCGCTGCAGATTTTGGTTTATTGTCGTCTGCCGCTCACTTGCCATGACTCGGGAACAGACACCACCGGTCCCATTACGCATTCGGTACGTTTTTTTATCTCTAAACTCAAGGTTTACAGAGCGTCACCTCGACAGTTTAAGCACATCTTGATCATCTCGGGTTTAGGGCCACTCCTTGCGCAGCTTGGCGCGCGCCCAGAAGCTGCGACGATGCGAAAATACCTGCTGCCCCCGGCTCGAAGTTGGAGTTTGAGGGTTTAGGGTTTAGGGTTTAGGGTTTAGGATCAGGGCTTGGTAGGCTTTGTGGGACTTGGATTTCATATGATTCTGCTTTTTTGTTGGCTCCCATGGTGGCTTTTATTTGCACTCTAGTCGTAGGCTTGAATCAGAACTAGAATCCACAACAGGTTGATGTTGGGATGTTCCCCCTTTTAGCAACAGTCCCTAACAAGCCTTATAATCGGGGGTACTATAGTTGTGATGATGTTTCCTTAGAATACATTTGCCTTTGAGGATGTACTGTAGGGTTGGCTGTGCGTTCGGAAGCTGGCCCATGAAGCCAGTTCCCCCGCACGCGGAACCCCCGGCCCATGTTGCCGAAGCTCAGTAAGCTCCAATCCACCCCCAATTCCCTGGCACATGAAGCCCCCAAAGTTCTCACCAAACAGCAAAAATCCCACAAGAAGTACCAGTTTATAGTACCCTCTATTATCATACCTATTAAGGACTGTTAGTATAAGGGGGAACATCCGTACCCTCTATTATCATCCCTAGCAAGGACTGTTAGTATCAGGGGGAACATCCCAAAGTGTCAGACTCCTGCGTCCAAAGAGAGGCTGCTGGGCCTGGTCCTGTCGCTTACCTCGACCGCAGCCCGGCTCCCAGAACATCGACCCACTTGGTTTGTGAGGCTTTGGGCTTTTGTAGGGTCTTTCTCAGGATTCAAGTTTTCTACCCGGCTGCCCTTCTAGCATGCTTTTGGGTTGGATGTGCTGCGTTTGGTGGCGGTTTGTCTGGCAGGCGGTGGTGTCTGGGCATAAAATCCACTATCAGTTGCTGCTGTCGCGCCAATCGTACCTGAACCCAAATCGCCCGATGTCTAGATGGAGCTGCCGGTGTTGCGGACAGCTGCGCCAGAATGAGCTCATCTTGCATGCCAACTTGCACGCGCAGCTGACCGATAGGAAAGAGGCCTCCAGGTGGTCAAGGCTGTCGAGGCTCCAAGCCAGAAATTGAGTTTTTTGACATACAAGTTACAAGGCCTAGTGCTCATTTCAAGCTACGTTAGGGTGCCAGGATGTCCCAGGCTGCAGCAGCCAGAACAGCCCTGAGCCGCCAAAAGCCTAACAAACCCCAGCTATTTCCACTCCCGACGCCTCCTATCAGGTCCTGGCCGAGGAGGAGGAGGATTGTGTTGCACAGCTGGTCTTGTGTCACTGTGACATGTTTCGTAGATGGAGAGCCATGTTTGATTTTTAAGGTCCAGATGGGCATTTACTATTTTGACTTTTACTGCTATGGACAGAGGCACCGACTACATGACAACAGGTTGAGCCTCATGGACATTATGGAGTATACAGCTGTAAAGCGGCCCAAGAAAGAGTAGAGGCGTAGGACAAAGGGCATGAAACTTTACAGTTGTTTTTTTTTGGGGGGGGAGGGTTCAGACATGTTGAAGCCTTGGGCACCCGAAGGCCGTGGGTTCACGGGTGCCCAAGTCTCTAGTTGCTAGTTGCTCCACAGATAAATCAGATGAATGAAACGGCTGATTGGAGGTGGGAAGGATCTACTGGCAGCCCGAAGGAGTCGCGAGAGAAGGCACCAAGAGATGCTAATGCCCCCCCCCCCCCCAAAACAAAGAACAAAACGCCCAACTCAGCAATCTAGCAGAGCTTGCACTGCCACAAGTTATCCTGCCTCAGGCCTTTTTAATACGCTACGTCTAAGGCCCTCTGTACACTATCTTCTTATTTTTGAAATTTTGCTGCTATTTTCCTACTATTCGAAAACTATTTCGAAGTGTCTTATAAAACACTACTATTTCATACTTTTTAGCCCCCTTTACTGAAATTCCTTGCAAAGTGGGAAAGGAGCCCATGGAGGAGCTCGAAGAGTCCGGTGAGAGCATGGAAGACTTTGGCGAGGACCTGCCCGGAAACACTTTCACGTAGGGAGTGAGGGAATTCGGGTATATGTGCCCTTTAAGGGATTCTATAGGGTACCTCAATACCTCATTCCCTTCTAACCAACAGCAAGAAACACGGGGATTGACAGAATTCTCGCGTTCTCTGGGCATGGCAGGGGGCAAGAGTTGCCCGACTGGCAAAAGCCCAAGCACAAGACCCATGTGGCCCGGACCCCCCCGGCGTCCCGCCAAGTACTGCAGCAGCTCTACTTGGGCTTTGTTCGCGTTGCCTTGGTGGTACCCTATTCCCTTGTTTTGGTGCAAGGTTCCCTTGCAAAGCAACCAACTGAAAAATGGGTGCCCTTATTGCAATATGGTTACTGTGCTACCAAGTTGCAGTTGTTGCTTTGTAGCACAGCCTCCACCCTCAGTGGGTGAGTGCGGGATCTGAGGCTTTAGGGCTTCATAATTCAAAAGTTCAGGGCTCAGTGTGGTCAGGTACTTTCTCATGAAAGTTGATCCTGGCATGTCGGACTTTAGGGTCTCGTTGCCCCTGGAAGCCTTATACGCGTCAGGAGGAGGAACCCGACATGGATGAGGAGGACATTGGCGAACTCGAGGCCTGGCTTTTTTGGGTTTGTGGATCTCAGCAGCCCTGAACACACAGCCTGACATGGGGGGGGCGGAGTTTTGGGGTTGGGGTGTGGGGTGTGGGGATGCCAATTGGCTTGGGGCTTGAGATGGTATCGCCTCGAGCTGCAGCTTGGATGTAGAACAAGTTGGGTTCAGTGGCACTTCTGCGCTTGGTCCCCCCACACCCCGAACAGGGGCTGTGACAGGCATTTGTGGTTCAGGGCGAACGGAAAACTCCATCGAGGGAGCTCGCGCACACGTGCAGTGCTGGGTTCCGAGCAGATTTGCCCTGAAATGTAGATTTCTTGATGCTGGCCGCGGGTGCGGAGGACATGCCCGAAGCGGAGGGCCCGTCTGGCAAGATGTCCAACCATCCTCTCTACGAGGATTTCCGGGGGGAGGGGGGGGGGGGGGAAGAAGCCAAGAAGCCAAGAACCCGGCAGCAGCCTAAAAGAGCACTGTAGCACTTCATTCAATGTACAATGCTATATCCCCCTTGGTTTTTTCTATTTTTGTTTTTATAAAACCCAAGAGGATATTCAAGATTTCTATTTTTTTTAAGGTTCTAAGGGCAGTATAGAATCACAAGTTGTGGGTTGAGCTTCGAGTAGCTTGGAGTTGTGAACTTCCAACGGCAAAGTCTAGCACCAAGAGGATCCATGGTGAGAGGAAGTGTAAAAACAATTGCAAGAAGCGCAGAGTTTCCAGACCCCCGAATTTACTGCCGAGTGTCCATCACGAAGACCATCTGCATGGCTTCAAGGGCTCCCAATTTCAATTTCCCTGGGAATACGAAGCATTCATAATCTTGCCTTCGAGGCTTGACCAGGGAGAGGAGCTTAAGTTGTCGGATGGAGCTTGAAATTCCCTTCTCTCGACGGCGGGACCGTATGCAGCTTCTAGGAGAGCGAAGGTTGCGATGCTGAGAATGCTCAAAACATGCTCATAGCAGACCAAGTGCCTCGACACGCCTCAACCCCCGAAGATCCTTAGAGGTTTAGACGCAGAAACTTCTGGAAACCTCGGGCCAAGGCGCGTAAAACCTGTAAACGTTAAAGTGAGAACGCCTGCAAAGAATCGTTCGGAAACAAGCCAGAAAGTTCCGAACACTTCATCGTATGAGCACCTGTCTATTCCTGAACTCGAGCACCAACACAACCAACCTATCCTACGAATTGCTTACGAACCACCCAAAAAATGAAAATGTTCTCTCTTATCAGAGTAACATAGGGATCTTTTTTTTTTTCTGGGGGGGGTTAAAGCAAATAGTAGTATCCCCACGGCCCTAAGCTCTCGGCCCTGACTCTGCAGGACTGCATTCGGCACGCAGAGGAGGTGGAGGCCTGCGCTCATGCCAAGCCTCGTCGCAAATCTCGGCAAAGAGAAGGATGTCTGAATTTTTGGGACTCAGAAACCGGAACTGCGCAATCAGATCTCAAGGACATCTGAGCGCCCCTCTAAACCCTAAACCCTAAACCCCAGGGTCCCTTCAGCTAGACAGCTCGTGCAACATGGACGAAGCCTGGCTTCGAAGCCTGCAAACGCCTCTTTTTGTCAACGCCTTCGGGTTCAGGCTTGTGGGGATATTCACATGTTCCTTATTTGGGTTCATAAAGGATCCCATGTATCAACAAGGGACCCGGGAGGTGAAATTAAACAAGGCCCGAGACTGGGAAGCTTGGGGGGGGTGTCATTGTCCGCCGCTTCGAGTTACCCACGTACCAAGAAGCAGAATGCTGGCTTTGGTTTGGAAAGAAACCCCTATACCCTGAACCCTGAACCCTAAACCCTAAAGTGTAGTGCCGCCCTGAAGACCAGCGTGGGCCTGTACGACAACGTGGAGGCACAGCAGTTCAGCAGTTGTCGGCGTTGCTCTCAGTGGATTGGGGCTTTGGGTCTTGGCAGCGGGGCTCGAGCGGGTTTCGGGTTTAGGGTTTAGGGTTCAAGGGTTCAAGGGTTTAAGGGTTCAAGGGTTCAAGGGTTTAAGGGTTCAAGGGTTTAAGGGTTTAAGGGTTTAAGGGTTTAAGGGTTTAAGGGTTTAAGGGTTTGAGGGTTTAAGGGTTTACTCACAAGCAAAGCTTCCCAGACTGGGTCCTGACACGACTTGCACTGATGGGAAGGTTTCGAGTTCAGGTTTTGAAGGGCAAAGCCTACTCCGAGGCCATATGGGATGTTAGAAGGGCCCAGCTCACAGCAAGTTCAGGGGTGCAGGGTCCATACAGAGGAGGCCGGGCGATCAAGAGTCACGGGTCAAAAAAAGGGGGTCCTGGGTCCATGATGGCAGGCCGGGCAAGCCGGAGAACCCATTCGAGGCAACACGCAAAATTGCTCCAACAGATCCCCTGATACCCTGGAACTCTGCAAACTGCCGACAGCAACCGAGCACCCGAGAACGTGAGGATTTGCGTGGCCGCGATGAATCTGTGTGACCGTTGTGTTTTCTTGGCAATCTTGAGTCAACCATCAAAACCCCACAGCCCTAAACACGAAGAGGAAGTGGTGCTTGTTCTGGTGTTGAAGAAGCTCAGTGGCTAATTTCCCAAACCCTAAACCCTAAACCCTAAACCCTAAACCCTAAACCCTAAACCCTAAACCCTAAACCCTAAACCGAAGTTCAGAGGGCACCTCTGGCACCCCTGGCGGAGGTAGGCGAAGAGGGCCGCAAGAGCCTCGCGGCGGCGCTGCGCTTTTGCCTGCAGTGGGTTTTGGGGTTTAGGGTGTAGGGTGTAGGGTGTAGGAGGGTTTAGGGTTTAGGGTTTAGGGTTTGGGGTTTAGGGTTTTAGGGTTTTAGGGTTTTAGGGTTTTAGGGTTTTAGGGTTTTAGGGTTTTAGGGTTTTAGGGTTTTAGGGTTTTAGGGTTTTAGGGTTTTAGGGTTTTAGGGTTTAGGTTTTTTTTGGGGGGGTTGCTTTGGGCCGCGAGTTGCAAAGCTCCTGAAGCAAAGGGCGATTCGCAATTTTATTTTTTCGTTTTGAGCTCGGCTTGCTAATATTTAGTTGGGCCTTGCTAGGTTAGTAGAGTACCGGGCTCAGGAGTTTCCTTGCCAGCTAAAGGACCAGCATGAAGTCTGTATATCTGCCTTCTAGTGTGGAACTGGAGGAAGCACTCACGCTCCCTTAGATCCCTGTCAGGTAAGATCCAGGCCAGGTAAGAGGGAGAGTTGCTGTAAGCATTCCCACGCATTTGCGTTCCTGTGTCCTTACTGTTGCAGTTGCCAGTTATAATGGTACGAGGCAGGTGACGCATCAAACTGAAAGCATCTGAACGCTCTACCCAGCACACTCACATTGAGAAATTCCCGTGCCAGATTCCAAAGGCAGTCCAAAGGCATCCAAAAGCAACAGCCGCCGCATCAAGCCTTAGATTGAACTAAGGAAAGCCAAAGCCGTGACACTCACAAAGACGCCTGGATGCACGGTCACGAGCGCTGTTCAGGAGTTCAGGAGTCTTTGGCAAGGGGCGGTACCCCTACTTACGGACACCCCCCACGTGTCGCCGCACGGTTCTGCACAAGGCACTCTCCCTTGGCAACCTTTGCAAGCTCTTGGCCCTAAACCCTAAACCCTAAACCCTAAACCCTAAACCCTAAACCCTAATCCCATCCTTTAAGCTCCATTCTCCTAGGAGGGCGCTGAGCCCGGAAGGATCCGGAGGGTCCTGAGCTCTTGGGGATGACTTGGGCTTGCCGAAATATTATAATAATTAGGGGGCACCCTCCTAGAATTCCTTGTTTACAAGGGAATCGTACTATTTGGGGGGGGCTAGTTTAGGGGTCCCGTATTTCGTAACCTCCATTTGGCGAGTTTGAATGCTTACGTTTCGACTCACTTCAGGAAAGACTCGCCCACTTTCGAGTCTGCATTCGCCTCCAAGCTGGAGGAGAGCTATTTCTGATGTCTCAGGGCGCCAGTCGCCAAGTTTCCGAAAAGGTTCTCAGGGGTGTCTGTAAAAGGAGGTTGAGAAGCCTCATCCTCAGGGGCTGCCGGGTGTTCTTCTTTGCCCTTTGGGTCATTCCGGCGGGCTCTTCCTAAGCATGTCGTGCAATGAAAGACGCCCTAGAGGCCCTAGAATCCAGAACCCGACACCGCTGAAATGCGCCCCATCTCCAAGCCCGGCAGCAGGAGATCCACAGTAGCAAGGGTGGCTTCGGAGCAAGCGCCCCTTGCCAGAGCACAAGTTCTTCGATGACTCAGAAGACTGATGTAGAGCTGTCATCTCGCAGCCGAACTAAGGATGCTTGTGACTTCCTGTTGGAGCACCATGAGGAGCTCTGAGCGTGACCGTCTCGATTTGCCAAGGCTTAGAGCCCAAAGTTTACAGCTTGAGCTTAGGCCGCTGTCTAGATTCGGCTGCCAGAAGAGCAGAAGCATTCGCCGACTGCAGCTGCAACGCCAGAAAAAGGCCGGCTCGGACCGCATGGGTGGAAGAGCGCTGCGCACCCCAAGAGCCCTGCCAACCTGTTCCAGAATTGTAGCTTCATGAGTGCATCTTAAGGGGCTTCCGGATGTCAAGATGGAACCCAACCTTAAATGGCATTCAGTCTTCGGCCTGGGGTATGGGCCCTGAGCATCCTGGGCGGTGAAATACCCACAAGTTGGCCTTGCACTTGCTCGCATCGTGTGTCCCAAAGCCTCTGAGGCGGTGGGCAGCGCCAGGAACACCGCGGCCAGGCCTTTTGGCTTTTCTGTGAAGCCCAGGCTCTTGGGCTGCAGCAACCCAACACGGTGGCTGACGATTTTCGGCATTCTGCGCGCCCCTTCCCCTCTCAACACGAAATAGGCATTGCAAAAGGTGCGTCAGCGCCAAGATTCACATGTTTGTTGGGACGCATGATGTGCATGGATGTTGCATCAGATCCCAAACACACATATCTATATAATTGTCTATGCGTGTGTTGAACAATTGATTCCCGACAATACCAGTTGACTACTAGCAATATGACTGTACCAACAATTATCAATCTGAGTGTCATGTAGACTTGCATGATCTTACGTGACCATACACATACATATACATATATATATATATAATATTTCCAATACATGTTGCCTTTGTAAGTCCCCAATTCAGCGAAACGATTTCTTTATAATCCCAAATGACAATGAAATACAACTACTGTTATCTAGTTCCTATTACGATTCCTGGTGCTATAGCCAGCCAGACTTGACCTAAACAGATTTTTGGGTGGCCAAAAAACAGCTTAAAAAATGCTCCTGTTTGAAAGAATCCGGCACGACGTGTGGAGCCCCCATGCCTTGACCTAAAAAGTTCTGTATTCTCAAGCATTGTAGGGACCCCCAAAGGGACCCCCAAAATGGTAGCCCTGTTTTTTGAGAAACCCCAAGTTGTGGGCAGGCCTGCTGGCGCGCCGCTAGGGCCTCGCTTCACCTGGACCTCTGCCGAAATGGGGGGCTCAAGCAGGCGTTCGCAGCTTAGAGGAACCCTTAACCCCAGACTTTCAAAGGAGGCTGGCATCCCAGCGATTACCAGAGCTAAGTAGGAAATTCACGTGAGGTCTAGCCATGCAGGTCGCCTTGCCTTTGCCAAATGTGTGGCTTGTACACCCAGGCAGCACTTCGAATGCTCGTGCACCGGTCTATCTTCTTTGACAAAGCCCTGCCCTGCCTGGCGAATAAGCGCATTGAAGCACATTGGGCTCAAGGCTCAGCTATCAAAGGCCCGGTTTTAGGTGCCTGACAGGTGTGGGCTGACCAAGCGAGCCATGGGCTTTAACATCTACGAGGAAGCTCCCGTGGTGCAGTCCAAGTACCACGGCACGGAGAAACAAGTGTTGGCAGAGATTTTCCTCCAGCACGCAGTCTCTGGTGCCTTGCCCATAAACCCATGGTACGAGGCAGCCAAGTCCCTGTCCCGCGAATTCCCTGACCAACTGGGCTGCCTTGGCAATCATTCCATCCTGGGACGAGTTTTCCAGATGATTGACGAGAATCATGATGGCATCCTAGATCAGGATGAGTTCGTCAATGGCATGCATGAGCTCCTGCACCCCAGCACGGCGGCAGGGAAGACGCTCGCGGAGAGAATTGCCAAGGTCACTCTTCCGCCGGTGGAGACGGATTTCGAGCATGTGAAAAACGTCGCCATCATTGGTGCAGGAGTCGCGGGCCTTCAGACGGCACGCCGGCTGATGGAGATTGGAATCTCTTGTACCATCTTCGAGAAGTCTGAGAACGTGGGAGGGGTGTGGCAGAAGAACTACGCAGACTTCGGCCTGCAGGTCCCGAAGGAGCTCTTTGAGTTCCCCGACTTCCCCTATCCTCCCGACTTCAAGTGCGACCTGTTCCCCACAGGCCCGGAGGTTCAGGAGTACATCGAGCTGTACGCCAAGACTTTCGGGTTGTACGACATTACGCAATTTAAGACGTTTGTCCTAGAGCTGTATCCAGCACATGCTGGGAAGCGCGGCTGGACCGTCGTCTATGAGAAGGACAAGGAGCGCTCCACCAAGACCTTTGACTACTTGGTCGTTGCAACGGGCATGTATGGCTGGCCACCGCACGTTCCCGTTGCCCGTGGCTCCGAAAAGTTTAAGGGCCAGATTTTGCACTCCTGCACCTTCACGGATCGTAGTGTCGCCGCGGGCAAGAAGGTGGTCGTCGTTGGTGGTGGTAAATCCGCAGTTGACAACGCGGTGTCCGCAGCCAAGGCGGGCGTCTCCAGCGCCCTGGTTTGCAGATCCTGGCACTGGCCTGTTCCACGCTACTTGCTGGACTGGGTGCCCTTCAAGTATGCGACCTACAACCGTTTTGGGCATTGGTTCGTGCACCCCCACCACAGCGAAGGTCCGGCAGCACAATGGCTCCATGGTACATGCGCACCCGTCAAGTGGCTCTGGTGGCGCATCGTGGAGACGATGTTCCGCAGCCAGTTCAAGATCCCCAAGGACATGATTCCAGACGAGGGCATCGACGTCGATCTCTTCACCGGTGGGCAGATTTTGGACTACGAGTTCCGGGACATGCTGGCACAGCCGGGAAGATTCAGCCGGTCACAGGGGCTATTGACAAATTCACGGAGACCGGGGTCATCCTCACTGATGGCAAGGAGCTGGAAGCCGACATCGTGATCTACGGGACGGGCTTTACCAAGAACTACGACATCTTCGACAAGGTAATCCAGGAAAAGCTCAACATCCAAAAGGACGGGCTCTACCTGTACAGGAACATCATCCCGCCGCAGGTGCCGGATGTGGCTTTCATTGGTTGCGAAGTTGCCACCTTCAACAACATCTTGACACACGGCCTGCAAGCGCTCTGGCTGCAGAAGATGTTGGCTGGAAAGATGCAGGTCCCCAAGCCGGGAGCCATGGAGAAGGTGATTGAGAAGGAGCGCGCCTGGAAGCGAAGCTGGATGCCACCCTCAAGTGCTCGTGCGTGCCTCTACCAGCTGCACATGACCAAGTACCATGACATGCTGATCCAGGACAACCCTAAACCCCAAACCCCAAACAAACCCCAAACCCTAAACCCTAAACCTTAAACCCTAAACCCTAAACCCTAAGTACCATGACATGCTGATTCAGGACACGGGCGCGTCGCGCTTCCGGAAGATGCCCAACTGCTTCGGCGAGCTCTGCATGCCCATCACGGCGGCCGACTTTGCGGATCTTTTCCCGAAAAGCTCCAGGTGATGCTCAGTAGTAATAATAAGACTAATAGTACCAATATACGAATAATAAATAAATAATGATAATACTAATCATGATATTAATATTACTGATAAAAAACTATAGCGGCTGAGCGGCTACTTTAAGGTTTTGTAGACACTGCAGGCCATGAAGAGTCTTGCCAGTTCCAGAGACATGCCGTAGGGGTCGGGAGCCTGAACCATACTGGAAATTTGCTGACAGTAGGAAACTTACTGAGGATGTCCTCTTGTCCGCCCCTGATGCTTGCCTTACCGGCGCTGTAGTTGCGCCTTGATTAACCGGCGCTGAGTTGCGCCTTAACTTTATAATGCAGCAGATTTGGACTCGAACTCTGATGGTTCCGCTGCTACACACTGCAGCGCAGTCACCAGCAAAAGCGAGCGCTTGCCACTCAACTTACACAGATGTATTAATGTAAGTAAGTTATTATGGTGGATATAGAATCCTGCATCACCCGAAGTACCTTATACCTTGTCAAGTATATTGTGACAGTTCACTAGAGTCATGCAGGATGTTTGAGTATCAGTAGTACTCTACTGATAAAGCGAAGTTTTGGGTCCCATGAATCCAAGCAAGGCCTGGGGACTCGGACCTCATTGAGCTCCCGGACTCCTGCGCCGAGAAGGTGGCAGGCCAACAGCAGAGGCGCGCCAGGGTTTGGGGGGTTCAGGGATTGTGGTGTAGGGTTCAGGGTTGAGGGAGTAGGGTACTTATACAATTCTTTATCGACTCGTCTATGAGAGCGGAAGGGCCGCTGCTTTAGACTCTTCTGGAGGGCGCATGGCCGGGTTTGTGGGTTTGGGGCGTGTGCGCCCCCACCTTTGTGTTCTGCCTTTTAGGTGCGTCAGCGCCAGGACTTTCTTATCTTGATGTCAAGGAAAAATAAGGAAAGTGCAGGTTGGCTTCTGGGAATTTTCCGATTTTCCTGAGACACAGCTGTCATGGTCTTGCAGCTGAACTAAGGATGCTTGTGACTTCCTGTTGGAGCACCATGAGGAGCTCTGAGCGTGACCGTCTCGATTTGCCAAGGCTTAGAGTCCAAAGTTTAAAGCTTTAGCTTAGGCCGCTGTCTAGATTCGGCTGCCAGAAGAGCAGAAGCTTTCGCCGACTGCAGTAGCAGCGCAAGAAAAACAAGGCCGGCTGGGACCGCATGAGTGCAAGAGCGCTGCGCACCCCGAAAGCCCTACCAAGGTATTCCAGACCCTTTCTTAAGAGGCTAGAGTTTGGGCATATCCATGAATTAGCGCAGCACTTGCTCGATGATCTATAGTGTGTCCCAAAACATCTGAGGCCGGCAGCGCCAAGAAAACCACGGCCAGTCCTTTTTCTGTGAAGCCCAGGCTCTTTCGTAAAGTAGTAAAGTCGCCAAGTTTGGGCTGCGGCAACCTGACACGTTCTTGACGACTTTGTTCTCTTGAAACAAGTAAGCATTGCAAAAGGTGCGTCAGGGCCAGGATTTTCGTATCTTGATGTTAAGGAAAGATAAGGAAAGTGCAGGGCCACACTCTTTGTCAGTGCGCTTGGCTATCTTGATGGTAAGAAAGTGTGGCGTACTTCCCACAGGAGACATAGCTAGATTCCAGGCTTGTGGGCACCTTGGATTGATGGTTGGTTGATCGTCGTCTCGAATTTTGTTTCGATACCGACGAGATTGGGGGGGGGGGGGTGGGGGCGGACGCATTATTTGCCTCGGATACTAAACTTGATTTCAATTTCATTCCTTTTTACGATCGAGATTTCTATAACTTATCGAATACAATTAAAATTATGTCATTTAAATCTTTCTGAAATTGACAGATTCGCTTTCAAACGATAATTGTGCTTTTGGGTGGGGGGTTGGAGGGGTGGGGGGGGGGTTGGGGGGGGTGGGGGGGGGGGGGGGGGGGGGGGGGGTGGGTTTGGGGGGGGGGTGGGGGGGGGTTTGGGGGGTGGGGTGCGATCTTATATAGTCATGGGGGGAATGAGATATTTATATATATTAATTTATATAAAAAGTAATTTTTTAATCTGGAATATTGATATAATAGTCTTTGCACCGTACCAGGAAGGAAGATCCGCCAAATTCGACAATGTATCGGGGAATTATATCTCTCCCTCATCCCCAATTTCATTCTTTGGGGAAAGATTAGCATCTAAGATATTATTTAGAATATTATTTTGAAGGTAATATTCACCAATTTCTAGATTATTTTTTATTTTTTTTTTTTTTTTTTTTTTTTTTTTTTTTTTTTTTTTTTTTTTTTTGTTTTATTTTTTTTTTTTTTTTTGAGTTTTTTGTTTTTTTTTTTTTTTTTTTTTTTTTTGGTTTTTTTTTTTTTTTTTTTTTTTTTTTTTTTTTTTTTTTTTTTTTTTTTTTTTTTTTTTTTTTATTTTTTTTTTTTTTTTTTTTTTTTTTTTTTTTTTTTTTTTTTTTTTGTTGTCGAAAATGGGAATTATATGTGAAAAAATGAAATTCACTTTGGAAAGATGATAAATAAATTTTTCTTATGATTGATGTTCTAGCCCTTACGTTCTAAGCCACTTTCTCCTCCAACCCCCGATCGCAAAAACACAAATAACTTGAAAACAAAAAAAAACAACGCATGTGATTTATTTTTGCGAGTTAGGGACATATCTAGAATGAAACAATTTCCAGCAAATTATATTTCAGTGACGAATCTTTCATTCACCCAATAATACAAATCATATGGCCTCATTTTAGGGCATTAGTTCGAGTACTTGATCTTGCCAAAATTGCTATGTCCTGGATCATGAATAAAAAAAAATTTTATAGCTTTGTAAATGCAAACCTGTGTGAATGGCCAATACTTCTTAGGGGGACGGAGGGAAGAGTATGGAGAGGAGAGGGGATAGTCAGGGTGGGGCGTCCCTAGGCATACTACTGACTGGATGAATTCCATCATCTTTTTCTTCTTCTTTATTTATTTATTTTATTATTTGCTGTTTTTTTTGCGAAAGGAACAGATCTATAAACGACTATTTATTCGCATTTCTGGAATATACGTAACCTTCTCATAACGACATACTTGTTCAATTTTACGCAAGAGATAGATGAGATTATCAATCCCTACGATCACAGCGGCACTTGCATGTTCTCTTGAGCGCCGTCGCCTCAAAGACGGTTCTCGCCGGGAGCCGGAGATACTTGCAAGATTTCGTGCTTGTTGAAGCTTACTTACGTTACCATGGTGGTGGGGATTTCGCGCTGGCTTTTTCTATCGGAAAATGATGTTCCTCGCCCAGGCCCCTCGCGCAGTTCTTGAGATGATCGATACGTTCTCATGGATCAAGATACTGCTGTCAAGAGAGGTTGTTTTTCATTTCGCTGTTTCAACGTTCGGGTTCATTTCAAGAGGGAATTCGGATGCCAACTGTGTTTCTTCTCGTCGCCCGCGATCGGGGTACCTGGGCTTAATTCGGGGTGGGGGGCGGGCTTTTAAATGTGCTTGGGGTCCCTTGATTGCTTCGTTGCTGCCTTTGTGTGTCTGGATGTTAGGGCATCCGAATATCTGGAAGCATACGTCTCTCCTTTCAAGTGGTGCTTTTGTGGATAGAAGTCTCTAATTGGGCGCCGCCGAATCATATCTTCAAGATCATCAATTTCTATTATCTTGCAACGATAAAAAAATGGAAAAGATGGGCAAAAATCGCCCAAGTCCGAGAAGGAAAAGATGGGTCGTGAATTGAATATCAAATAACAACCTCCGATACAGAATGATAAATCAATACGTACCCTGAAAAGATGATCCGTCCCCATAATATTGAGACCCGCCGGGAATTGGGGGTGGTGGTGGGTTTTTAATGCACATCGTCGGGCCTCGATTTCCTATTCCTTTTTTGGAGGTTCTATCGAAGCTATCTCTTGAATATATCATACGGAGGATAAGGCTCATATATCGCGTAATTCATTTCATAATGAGATAAGATCATCCACAAATTGATTTTACATTTCTTGACCAAGATATCGGCAATAAATCGTACATCTTAGTGTTGGGGCACTTCTTCGAGACCAAGATATCGACCACAAATGGAAGATCTTATCTTAGTGCTGGGGCACCACTTGGAGACCAAGACACCGGCAACAATAGTACATCTTCGTGCGTGGGCACCATTTCGAGACCAAGATACTAGCAAATCGTACATCTTTGTGCTGGGGCAGCACTTGACCATGACACCGGCAACAAATCATACATCTTAGTGCTGGGGCACCACTTCGAAACAAAGACGCCGGCAACAAATCGTATATCTTAGTGCTGGGGCACCACTTCGAGACCAAGACACCGAAAAAAATCGTTCATCTTAGACCACTCCGAGACCAAGACACCGGCAACAAATCGTACATCTTGGTATTGGGGCATCGCTCCGAGACCAAGACACCGGCAACAAATCGTACATCCTTGTGCTGTGGCACCACTTCTTGACCAAGATACCGGCAACAAATCGTACAACTTCGTGCTGGGGCACCATTTCGAGACCAAGACACCGGCAACACATCGTATATCGGCACCACTTCGAGACCAAGACACCGGCAACAAATCGTACATCTTTGTGCTGGGAAACCAATTCGAGACCAAGACAACGGCAAGAAATCGTGCATTCTCGTGCTGGTGCACCACTTCGAGACCAAGACACCGACAACAAATCATACATTTTAATGTTGGGACACACACCGGCAACAAATCGCACATCCTTGTGCTGGGGCACCACTTCGAGACCAAGACACCGTCAACAAATTGTGCATATCAGTGCTGGGGCACCACATCGACACAAAGATACCGGCAACAATTCGAAAATCTTGGTGCTGGGACACCACCAGAGTAAGATACTGGCAATACATCGTACATCTTGGTTCTCGGCACCACTTCGAGATCAAGATATTGGCAACAAGTCCTACAGCTAAGTGTTGGGGCACCTCTTCCAAGATACCGGGAGACCGGCAACAAATCGTACATCTTAATGCTGGGCCACCACTTCGAGACCAA